CACTGGTTAGTTAGGGTTTCTCTTGTTGAGAAGAGACACCATAACCACAACAATTCTTATTTTAAGAAAACAAACATTTAATTAGGGTGATGGCCAATTATCATCATGGTGGGGAGCATGGTAGTATGCACAGCGATATACTTCCTCCAACAAAGTCACACCTCCTTATAGTACCATTTCCTTTGGGGGCCATTTTCTTTCAAACTACCACACCCACCCTTAACATAGACTGGGTTCCCACACTGCATTAAAAAAACAAAAACAAAACCAGGGCAAGAGAACATGGTGTGCAACAACATTCATCCTTGCTTCTAAACTGTACATGCCTTTCCCAACAAAAAAAGGGAAGCCCTTCCGGAATTTACTTCTGTCAAGTATTTTGTTATTAGCAATGAGAAAAGTAACGAATGCTATGAGGTAATTAACACACTCCACCCCACCCCTATTCAAATCCAACTCAGGAAACATCACTCACACCTGGTAGGCAAATGCTTTACCACCAAACTATACCCTTAGCATTAAAACTGCTTTGTTCTGCCTCATCACACACAGCAATGAGGTCAGATACTACTGTCTCTGCTATTTATGTGAACTTGCAAAACTCACAATCTCCACACCTGTTTCCTCATCTGAAAAGTGGGATAATGGTACTAGTATTTCATAGGAGCTACAGATAATTATGATGCTTATCAACAGACTAACTATCTGCCAAGAGAATAATACTCAGAGCTTTTTTGCTGTTTGTTATTTGAGATGGGGCCTCTCTGTGTAGTTCTGGCACTCACTCTGTAGACCAGCGTGGCCTTGAATTCAGAGATCTGCCTGCCTCTGCCTCCCAAGTGCGGGGATCAAAGGTGTGTGACACCACCGCCCATCAATACTTACAGCTTTAAAAAAAAAAAAAAAAAAACCATGGCACTGTGGAGGATAAAGGAAGTTACTTTGGACCATGTGTTTAGCTGACTTTTCAAGAAGCCAGCAGACAATCTGACCTGACTACAGATGCCTCTAGTTGGTCCTACACAGAACTGCCACTGCCACCCGAGGCCCAAACATCTTCAGTGCTTGAGTGATTTGCAGCTATGACCTAGTCATCTGGGTAAGGAACTAGGAACTTCTGTAGAGTCCAGAGCACTGTCCAAATGTCTATTTCTTTAGGACTAGAGAAAATGTGTTCTGCAGAAAATACAGGCCATCCATACTGAGTGCAAGAGACTGAAACTCTCCTTTACAGCTCAGAAAATTGTTCAAAAAATGCATTTTGTATCTGGAGATATAGGTCATTTTTTAAGAATGCTTGTCTAGCATGCAGTCCTGGGTCCAATCATATCATTTGGGAAGTTGAGGCAGGAGTATTAGAGGTTCAAGGTCATTCTCAATTACATAGCAAGTTACATGTTTGAGGCCAAACTGGGGTACATGGGACACCACCAGGATCTAAAAAGGAAAAGGAGAAAAGGGAAAAGTGGAAGAACCTAAGGTAAGAACAAAGTATTTCTGTACTTCTTTCCCAGTTTATCATCAGATAAAAATCAAACTTAACTTTAAAGGGAAAAGGACTACCCAAGTTAGAGGAAGATCAGCATGATGGAGGAAAATGTGAACCAAGTCAGTGATACAGATCTGTGAAAATACCAGACTGCAACCCATTAAACAGGGCATCACCAACAAAAATGTCAAGTAAACAAAGGTCCAAGAAACTGTAAGCATAGGAAGGAATCCCTGGTCAATTTGTCTTGGGTTCCAGGTCCTGGGGTCAGACTGGATGTTCTTCTCATTTCAGTCTGTCCAATGGCTCATAACCACTTCCTTACCTCAGTGATAGGTTTGCTTAGGCCATGATTCTCAACAAAAGGGAAGTATATGGAAATGCTTGAAAAAGTCAGTGTTGTAGAAAGCCATCCTGGGAGCTCAACATGCATTACTATCTTTATCAGAATTGCTGAGGCTACTCGAAAGTGACCTTCATCTGAGATTCTAGTCATTCCTTCCTATACCTTTCTCCCAGTTGTATTTCTATACCAGGGTTATTCTCCTGGCTAGGCTTATGCTATACAGTTTATATAGTGTGGAAGTTGTCTTCTATGCTGAGACTTTGTAGTAGTGTGGCAGCTTTCAGTCACCCACAAACCTTTGAGTAAGCCCAATGAACTCATTGGCTCATCAAGCTTGACTTTGGGGCTGAATCATTTCTTTAGTCCATTGCTGGTGCCTTCTCCAGGATAAGATGACTTTCACATCTCTACAGTAAAAGTTCACTTGACACTCAGAAACTTGCAAGGTGGGCTGGGAGCCTCTCCTAAGACTGAACCAAACATGTAGTCTTATGTATGAAGATCCTAAGGCTAGACAAAATTGCTAGAAACAGGGTCAGGGCTAACCCCAGACCACCTGATTCCCAGGCCCCTTTCTTGTATTTCTAGGCTTTAGCTAAAAAGGCAGCCAAGTTCTCACATGGAATTTCTCTCTTCTCATTCTCCCATTCATAGGTAAATCTTGTAACTGTTCTTGATTCTATGATTCTGACATGCTGAAAACAATCCCCATACTTACAGACTAGAAACAGGCTGGGTTAAGCATGCTACTTTGGAAGAGTATTTAAGAGGCTGGTGAAATGACTCATCCCCAGTACCTGTGTAGGAAAGGTTACACTCACCTGTAATTGCAGCTCCAGGGAATCCAATGTTCTCTTCTGGATTCCATAAGCACCTGCACTCTTGTGCATATGTTTACACAATATACATATAACTACAAAAATAAATCTTAATGGGAGGGTGGAGCAGGCTCACAGAGCATGATCAAATCTGGGTTTTAAAAAGCACATACAGTTGTTTTGTCTTATCCTATTTTATTTCGTTAAAAAGAAAACCCATACTATTTCCATACACTCTGTTCCTTTAACAGCCTCCTAAGTGTGGGGTACCATCGCGCCATCTTATTAGAAGCTGTCAGCAACTCAACAGACAATCAAAAGGGAACCAATTAAAGAGTCCATGAATGTACCCATAGTTCACTGAATTTTCAAAGTCAGTTTTCACAAATTCTCCCATTTCACTTTGGAAACTGCCCCAATCACACTTCCAGAAAACTGTCTTTAATACTCCTAGGAAACGAAATTTGAGTCTCACTAAATGAACCCTGGGAGGCTTACTTGTTTTCTGAGATATCATGAAATCAAATCTACAGGCAAAATTATCTTGGGCCTTGTGATCTCTGAGAATAAATGCAATAGGGTACTTCATATGACTTTTACCTAATTTTAATAACAGGATGTTTACCCTAGGTACCTAACTTTTCCCAAATTGAGTACATTAGTTACTACTTTGTAAAAATTACTATAAGGCACAGTGCTTAAATGACAAACATTTATGATCTCAGTTTCTGTGGCTTTGCTGGATAATTTTAACTCAAGGTCTCATGAGGTTGTGTAATCAATGTTAGCAAGGGTTGCAGTCATTTAAGACGTCCCTAGTACCAGAGGACCTGCTTCCAGGCAGGTTCCCTAACGTATCAGTAGGCAGGCACCTTCTGCTTTTGACCCCTATATCCTCTCCATGGAAATGCCTGGGAAGCCTCAAAAATTCAACAGCTGGCTTGCCTCAAAGTGAGTGATTGAGGAGAGACAGGAAAGAGCAATGCCTTTCAATACCCCTGAATGTCTTTATTCGTTCAATGTCTCAGATTCAGGGTACTCAGGGAAGAAACTGAAGCTCCATGTATTCATGCTCCATGCTATATGTGTAGCAATGTAAAACCACAGGCTAGCAAGAGCATTAGCTTTTCATTTGCTATAACGCACCAGGGCCCAATGCACTATTATCTTCTCCTTCCTTTTGTTTCTCTCCCACACCAAATATCTACCCCACCCCCAGATGTGTACTCCTATTTCTTTCTTTCCTAGACAGAGGCCAATCTAAGGCAAAATAATATTTACTATTCTATCCCCACCTAAGAACTACATAATCAGAATAAAAATTGTAACATGTCTGCAATATGTATATACAATGTATATACAATGTGTATATATACATATATAATACACATATACAATAATAGCCTTTATTATTGGTGTTTCCACCTAGTGGATGAAAATATTTTGAAAGGGGATCAAAAACATAAAAATGTTTACTTCAAAGCTAGAAAGATGGCTCAGTAGGTAAAGTGTTTGCACCAAGCCTGATAACCTTAGTTGGATCCCAGAAACCCATATGCTAAAAAGAAAAAACTATCTCCTGCAAATTGTCTTCTGACTACAACAGGTGTGGCCCCCTTCAACACAAAAGAATAAATAAATAAGTGTAAATAATAAATTTTTTTAAATGTTATTTTAGGCTGGAAAGCTGGCTTAGTGGTTAAGGGTACTTATTACTCTTATAGAGGGCCTAGGTTCTGTTCCTAGCACTCATGCGGCTGCTCACAACCACTTTTAACTCCAGTTCCACATACACGTGTGCACGCACAAACACACACACAGGGCTCCTATCATCCGCTTCCTCTACGTAGGCCCCATCTCCTAAGGTTCCACAAACTCCCTAAACGGAAGCAGTAGTTAGAGACCAAAAGCTCCAACACAAAGCCCTGTGGGCACATTTCACTGCTTCCAAATTTTCTGACCCTGAGAGGATGAGACAGTGGACTTGGATTAGGATAGCAACGGATCTAAAATTAACAAGGGAAGCCTGACTGTAAACAGATTTTTTAATCACTACACCAGGATGTTTACATGAGATTTTGCCTCTGCAATTCTTTAAAATATTCCTTCTCTTAAGATAAAGTAGTGTAGAAATCATGGTGATCCTACCTAGACCACAGAAGTAAAAAAAAAAAAAAAAAAAGAAGCAGAATTCAGTTGCTCTTATAATAAGAGAGGAGGAGCTGGGGAGGTGGCTCAATGTTTAGAGCACTGGCTGCTCTTGCAGAGGATCCAGGTTTGGCTCCCAGCACTTACACGTGGTGGCTCACAATCACCCTGAACATTGTTCCAGGAGATCCAACGCCCTCTTCTGGTCTCTGAAGATACCAAGCATACACATGGTACAAACATGTAGGCAAAATACACATACACATAAAACTTTAAAACCTTAAAAACAACATCAAAACTAACAGCAACAAAAATAACACACTCAGGGAAAGGAGGTGGATCTCGTAAAGAGATGTTCTTTCAAAATCCATAATCATATAGTAGTTTTGTAGAATGTTCTGAATCCTCTGGCCATCTAGACAAGACAAACGTGTGACAAACACCTACATGTGGTACAGCATGCCTGTAATCTGAACACTAAAGGCAGTTTGAGTCCAGCCTAGTCTACATAGTGAGTAACAGCCCAGATAAGGTTACACAGTAAGACCAGTCTCCAAAATCAAATAAACAAAAAGAAGTGTAAGAAATAATTTTGGCCTCAGTGTCTACGGCAGTCACTATGAAAAGTGCTTCCACTGAACAGCACAGAAATCTAGCATTCCCCTCCTCTCACCTCCAGAGCTGTGATCCGCCCACAGAGATAACAAAAGACAAGAAGGCAGAAAGGTACAGAATGCTAGTGTGAGTAATGTTTTCCTATCAAATGCACATATTTCTAGTTTTACCTCAAGCCACTCCCTCCCCTCCGCCACAGGAAAACATTTCCTTTGCTTTCAGGCTGAATCTGCAAAGATGCCTAAAACACTAGGTAACAACATCCTCATATAAATAGAAACAATGAGAACCTGGAATAGTTACTAAGTACTGATCAGTATTAGGTTGCTAGGAAATAGCTTAATACATTGCTTCTTGCTTCAAATTGCAATAATTTAGATGTGAACGTTATTCATTTCTGATGAAAATTCTAAAATTCATTATAATTGAATAAATTATTTATTCTTTTTTTCCCTGTGACATGACATCATTTAGTTTTGCTAGTTCTCCAAATGACACAGTTGCAGAGCCTCTTTCAGCTGGCCTTGCCTGAAAACAATAAAAATGAAAGATATTAGATATAGATAAGCCCAGAGTAATTCCAATCATGTTATGCATAATAAAACATATCCTAAGTCAATCAACAATGGGAAACAAAGAGAAACATAAACCCTCTAGGAAAAGACAGACCTTAATAATGTTACCTGAGAGTCATGGTATTTCCATCCTATCATGTGGTAGATTTGGTAAGTGGCAGGTATGGAGCCATCCTCATTTCTGTACATTTCTAAAAAGACACATATGGTTAAATTCTGGAAACAATCAGGTCAGAAAAAGTATCTGCTCAATAAAATAAAATCACGTATTTTAAAGAGAAATGGGCACTAAGATGACTGCAGGGCTGAGAAAGAATGCCTTACAGAAGAAGTCTAACACAGAGAAGCTGACACTTTGGAAACAGATACAGAGCTAGGATCTGTGTTTAGAGAGAATAAAACCCACGAAGTCTGACAATATCTTACAAGAAGGAAACAGCACTGTGGAGCCAACAGCACACAGTACAAACCCCTCCGTAAGCGCAGGTAGAAAGGGTGGGCAGCTCACCTCTGTAAACCGCTGCAGCTGCCAGCATTGTGTCTCGGTGCAGCAGGGCTTTTCTGTTCCAAGAACAGTTGCTCTCACCCATACCTAAAAATAGACTACAGTTTGAGAAAATACTGCAAATACCCTTGCAGCTGAGGATAAAGACATGATCCATCTTATCCAACAGTGTACCTATCATCAGTCTCATCTATCTTCAGATGATAGCTAGCCTGCTTTCTGACTGCAGCAAACCTGCTTGAAGCTTCTTCATTATTAAGTCAGGTATGAAACTCTCAGAAGGGAAGCCCCAGGATGCTTCTTCCCACAACAGCCACTGTCTATTGTAAGACAGCTTTAGACTCCAGATGGGTCACAAACATTGACAAGTGCCTTTCAAAGAAAACCACATCTTACACCCCTTCTTGTGATGCTGTGACAATGTCCTCCTCCTTCTAAGCAGCATATATAATTACAAGCTCAAAACTTGGAAAAGGACTCATTAGACAAGACCAACGCCATGTCTTCAAATTTTGTGATATTTTACTAACAATAGATTTAAAAATTATGTGTATTTCCTACAGAGGCACTATCTTAGCATTTTAAAATTAATCTTCAGACCTCTTCCCTTATTTTAAAATTTCAAACTGTTTCCCTAAGTTGATGTAACAAGCCATTTTTACTGACAATTATTATTGTATAGCTAGAGAGATAGGTGGTACAGTGGTTGCCTAACATGTGTTCAAGAGGCTGGGGATATGAGTTAATGGGTAACGTGCTTGCTGTATAACTATGATGTCCAGGATCTAACATAAAAAGCCAGGTGTGCCAGGCAGTGGTGGCACATGCCTTTAACCCAGCTTGAGGCAGAGACAGACGCAGAGGGCACGGGCAAGGGCAGAGGCAGATCTCTGTGAGTTTTAGTCCAGCCAGTTCTACAGAGTGAGTTCCAGGGCAGCCAGGACTGCAAAGAGAAATCCTGTCTTGAAAAAAAAGGGAAGAAAAGAAAAAAGGAAAAAGCTAGGTGTGGTGTCGCCTGCCTGTGATCATAGGGCTGGAAAGGGAGACAAGGGAATCCTTGAGGCAGTTCGTTCTAAAAATTAGTGAGCTCCAGGTTCAGTGAGAGAAAGTGAGAGAGCAACAGATGATACTGACAAAGACCTCTGACAACCACATGTGCACACATCTGGAGGCTGCACACACACTCATATGCACACATAAGAACATCACACACATACACACACACACACACACACACACACACAGTCCTGGGTTCATTTCCCAGTACCACAAAAAATAAAGATAAATTAATATAATATCAAATTAATGGTATATATCTTTCTTTACATATACATTCATTCGTTTGTTTGTTTATTTATCTATTGGTTTTTCGATGCACAGTTTCTCTGTGTAACAGCCCTAGATGTCATGGAACTCACAGAAATCCACCTGCATCTGCCTGCCTCTGCCTCCTGAGTGCAGGGATTAAAGGCACTCGCTACCACCACCTGGTTCTTTATGTACACATACAAATGTAAAGTTATTTGGAAAGGTCATGTTTAAGATCATTCTACAAAATAACTAAAGGAACTTTAAAATGTCATAATTATTAACACTAAAATTTATTACATGTCGGGCAGTGGCAGCACATGCCTTTAATCCCAGCACTCCAGAGACAGAGTCAAGCAGATCTCTGAGGCCAGCCTGATCTACATGGGACAGTCAGGGCTTCACAAAGAAACTCTATCTCCAAAAAAAAAAAAAAATCAAAAACCAAAAACAAAAACTTGAGCAGTGTCTACTATTTACTTTTACTAATCAAGAAATGATTTATTTTCTTCAAGAGTTAAAAATAAGTGATTTAAAATTTTTATTTAAATAAAATTTTAGTAATAAAATTAAATGCACACACTGCTTTTGCTAAGGGCCTGAGTTTGGCTTCCAAAACACATCAGGCAGCACACAACAACCTAGAACCCCAGCTCCACAGATCTGACAGCTTCTTCTGGCTTCTGAGGCCACTGCTTCAGTAAGTAATGAAACTGACTGTACTAATATAACGCCCTGTGTTTATGAGTTTAATGGCCCAATTCATAAAGATTATTAATAGCTACAAACTAGAAAGTTAATGAAAATTGTGGCTGGGTGTAAACTGTAAATACATGTTTACCATCCCAGCACTTATGGTACAGAGGAGGAGGACCGTGATTAGAGGAGAGAGGTCATCCTCAGCTGTGAGACCCCTTTTCAAGTACACAAACAAACAACCTCCAATCAAAACAAAAAACACTGGGGGCTGGAGAGGTGGCTCAGTGGTTAAAAGCATGCACTGCTCTTCCAGAGGACCTGAGTTCAATTCCCATTAGAGGCTCATAATGTCCAGTAACTCCAGTTTTGGAGGATCCACTGTCCTTTTCTGGTCTCTATGGGCATCTACACGTGTGGTATATGTTCTGAGACACGAGAGAGAGAGAGAAAGAGAGAGAGAGAGAAGGGGGGAGGGACAGAGGAAGGGAGGGACGGAGGGACAGAGGGAGAGAGAGGGAGAGAAAGAGAGAGAGAAAGTGAGAAAGAGAGAGAGAGAGAGAGAGAGAGAGAGAAACAGAAAGAGAGAGGAGGGACACAGTCACCTTAGTTTCTGTTCAGCTTTCCATGGCCCTGGCTTCCTTACACATCACATGCAGTAATTACACATACAGCACAGAATGGACTACGAAACGTTCTAAAATGCTTTCCAATCACTGCTTGCATATTCTAAATAAGATCATTAGGCACATGCCACCTCTGTGGGTCTGACCCAGCTCAGTTATAGAAGATTCAAGAGCACACTCCAAAGCATCAGCAGCAACTCCACCGCCTCAGGAGTCCACTCTTCCTCGGGGACGCGCACTGTCTCACTGAACACCCCCCTCTCTTTCCTTGTGAAGTACTGAAGAGAACCTGAACCCTGGGAGCACAACTTTATGTAACCTAGGACAAGAATGGTTCTATCTTTAGTAAAACCAGTTTTTCATCTTTAAAATGGAGTATCTTATAGTACACTGTGGGGAAGCTTGACTGTCAACCAACTAGAAAGTCATCCACGACAGCAGACTCGACCTGAGCTTGTGATAAGACCAGACAGCAGGGAACTGTTTAAGACTCTCAGTGTTTTCACATTTGATCTTGGCCAAAAGGCTGAGGTTTCTCACAGTGTTTTTAAGGTTAAGTTCAACTGCTTATTAAAAACAAACTTTAATATGTTATTACTAGAGCAATGATGAATATTGCCTTAAAAAAACTGAACTTACCTTAAAACCACTGTGAAAGCCTTGAAAATTTCTCATGTATTCATCAGCTGGTAATGCAACTTGTTTGTAAAATTATGTCAACATTCTGGACTTTTTCTGTGAATTAATAATAATGGCAGCTAAAATGAGACAGGCCTCAACTATTCGGAAAACAACCACAACAGATGTAGAATACAAAAGCCAACTGGGGAGATAACCACCTTCCAGGCAGCACAGCAGCACCCCTGCAAGCACCCAAGCTCATGCAAGTCTCATAGCCCTTGGCCTTTTCCTACAGAGTAAATAGCTGTGATTTCAGGCTATGAATGAATGAAGTTGTCTGCCTCCACTAACTACAACTTTGGCAAGTTCCTTACCTGTCTGTGTCTTGGTTCCTCATGTATCAGGGCAGACTGGTCATGCTAGTTCCAGTCTTAACCTTCCTATAAGCCATGCCTTATAAGCATGCAGTGTGCTTCTATTATTCCCAAATCTGACTCATCTCTGCGGGCAATTCTCAAGATAAACCTGCTTCTTCTATACACTTAAGCAATATTATTACCGTAGTTGCCCCAACACAAGCTTAGGATACACATGGCCTTTTATATCTCCCCACCCATGCTTTATACACACCGTTCTCTGTGTCATCCCTCCAAATTTTCCCTACACTTCATCCTCCTGGACAGCTAACTTTAGCTTAGGTCCAGCCTTTTCTACAAAAGACTCCCTGACATCATAAGCAGATTTAAGGCCAAATCCCTTCTGCTTCTCTCACTTTACAGATTTGTCTGTCTATCTTGGAAGTCCTTTTACCTAAAATATTAACAACTTGAGGTCAGAAACGATGTGTCTCTCCCACTGGCTAAGGAGTTGGCACACGGCAACTGCTCGATAAATAGTAAGTGAAAAATATAAAATCCAGCAGTTAACATTTTGTCTAGTTTCTCAAATAGCATGTTTACACATATAACTCTTCTTAATCTAGGGTTAGGGTTAGGGTTAGGGTTCACTGACAGATAAAAAACATCAGAGACAAGTGACTTTCGTAAAAGGCCTCACAGTAGAGATAAAGTATCAATGGAAAGGGTAAGTGTGAGGAACACAGCCTCAAAATGCAAGATGACTTAAGATCCCCATGGAACAGGCATCACCAACTGGAAAGGGGCTGAGGGACCAGAAAGGTTTTAAAACTTGGTCTAGAAGGTGATTAAAAATGCAAACAGCCTGAAGACCATGTATGGTGATTTGAAGAGAATAGCCCTTGAATGAGAATGATCCCCATAGCTGTATCTGAATGTTTGGTACCCAGTAAGTGGAACTGTTAAGGAAGGATTAGGAGGTATGGCCTTGTTGGAGTAGGTGTGGGCTTTGTTGGAGGAGGTGTGTCTCTCCCTGCCTGCTTGCCAGTGGATCAGGAGGTAAACTCTCAGCTTCATGCCTGCCTGCATACCACCAAATTCCCTGACATGATGATAATGAACTAAGCCTCTGAAATCATAACTCGAGTGGCAGCATGTACCAGACCTGGCAAGCCCAAGCCAAATCAAGTCCTGGCAAAGGAGGGTGGTGCTGGATACAATGCTCCACCTCTATCTGAAGAGCTATTAGCCATTGTGAGCTGCTGGGAGAGGAAGGCTCGGTTTTTTTTCTAAGAATGTAGCCACTGATAAGCTAACCACAATCCAGCAGAAGGCCACAGATCCAAGTAGCACAAACTGGCCTTTGGGGCGGGGGGGGGGGGGGGGGGGGTAAGCAAGGAGAACAGGGACACAAAACTGGGAGGCAAGGGAAGGTGGGTGGATCTTAAAAGGAGTTTGGGGAGAGTGAATATGATCAAAATATATTGTATGAAAACCTCAAATAATAAAAATATGTACAACAAGTAGCTATAGCATTGAGGTTATAGCACTTAACAGGACAAAAAGACTAATTTCACTGTTTTATTTATTTATTTATTATGTATACAATATTCTGTCTGTATGCCTGAAGGCCAGAAGAGGGCACCAGACGTCTTTACAGATGGTTGTGAGCCACCATGTGGTTGCTGGGAATTGAACTCAGAACCTTTGGAAGAGCAGGCAATGCTCTTAACCACTGAGCCATCTCTCCAGCCCAGTTTCACTGTTTTAAAGATATATCTGTATTTAGTATATAGTATGTAGATTCAAGCAACTAATTCTAGGTTTAGTATGACTACAGATAAAGTACTTATGCCTTGATGTGTTTACCTATAAATCAATGTATTAGAAAAATCTAAGCCAGATACAATGGTACATACTTATAACTCCAGCACTTAGGAGGTAGAGGCAGGCAGACAAGGAGTCTGGAGTCAGTCTGTGATCCAAAGCAAGATCAAGGTTAGCCTGAGGTACATAACCAGACCATCTCAAAAACATCAGAAGCTGAAGATATAGCACTTTCTTTATATGTGCAAGGCTAACGATTTTTGATCCTTAGAAACACACAGCTGTATGGGGCAGGGTAGCACCCACACGTGGGAAGAAAAAGCCTCAGAGAACTGCAGAGTAATTACTGTATTTTTAAAGTAGGCAGTAACCTTTCCCAACTGATAGGTCTAATTTCTTGTCTCTCTCTATTTTTTCTTGAAATGAATCATGAGCACTGCATTTAATGTAGACCAGTACAAAATAAACACTCCATTTGATGAATTATCATTGAAGCCTAAATGAGAAATAAGTTCATTACCATGTCTCAAGCTTTTAGATAAATGAGCTCCATGACTCTATCAGTGTGTTTAATACTTGGGGAAGTGTTCAAAATTGGTTGCTGTCATTTAATATCTTTATCATCTTGAGTATACATCTAGAGCCTACCAACCCTATAGTTCATAATGAAAAGGGACCATAATGGTAAGTTTTGGGCTATGTGTATTTCCCTGTGTGAACATGACAGTGTAACTACACACTCAGAAGTGTGCTAAACATGTGAAATGGGCCTTGTGACAAACAGGAAAGTGATGGAAGCAAACATGCAGAACCTTATCACTAATAAACAACTACAACAAGCAACAGGGTTCACTTAGAAGCCAGGGCAGGAAACAAGAGTTTGGCACCTAATTCTGCCACTTAGATTCAAGTGTTCTTTTTAGCCCTAATATTTATCACTTAACACAGGGGCAACACAGTTACCAAGAGGACTACTGAAATAAGCAAGTGCAACCATAAATCTATAAATAAAAGAACAGGCAAGCAATTTTATAAATTTCATTATTTCAAAACATTACAACTTTCAGAACCACATAAAGGCTTTTTTAGGTAAGCATAATTCTATCTCACAGACCCCCAACTTTAACTCCACCAGCAATCAAAACTATGCTACTAATGAAATGTGATGTGTGTGTGTGTGTGTGTGTGTGTGAGAGAGAGAGAGAGAGAGAGAGAGAGAGAGAGAGAGAGACAGAAACAGAGAGAGACAGAAACAGAGAGAGACAGAAAAAGAAAGTATGTGTGTGTGAGCGAGAGGGAGAGAGCATGATCAAGTAGTTCACAAAGGAGAACAGTTGGAAGTCTCCCAATAGAAGGTATCTATTTACTGTTTATAAGTCACATTCTTCTTAAGTTGGGAGGTAGGGTCTGTGTCACTGTTGTTCCTCAGTGTCTTCCCAGATATTACTTCCTCCGCCTGTGTAAACCCTCACCCTGTAGGGGCTTGTCCACTGAGCCATAACCTTCTCCTGCTCCTGTCTGCTGGCAGATTAGTCCCCTCCTTTGCAAGCTTTGGCACCTGGCTCAGTTTTCCTGTGTGCCTCTGCTCAAGCCACCATTCTGAGAGGAAGGGTTTTCAGAGCTAGTGTCTATCAAATTTCATTCTCTCACCTCATATCCAATGAGCTCCGTCTCTCTGCCTCATCTGTGAGCTATGCCCCAGAAGGAGTTCTCACTTGTAACTGCTTTACCTTCCATCATTCACCTGGCATCTCATTTTCTGACTTTCAGCAGGATTACATACCTCAGCCATAACAATTTTCTGATTACTCTGAGATGCTTAGCTACAGCCACTTTCACCCAACTTCCCAACTTACTTTTGCCTTCTACTTCCTATTCTTCCAGGCCACTATTTCAATTATATTTATGGGTTACCTTTCACTTTTGGATTTCTGCCATTTAAATAGCAAAACCCCACCCCTAACTGACCCAACTACCTTTCTGTATGTAGTCAACCACACTGAAAGTCTGATTGACTTTAAATGGACCCTTCCAACTCTAACTTTTCCCTAGTCAGTTCACCTTTCTCTTCAATGACTATTTCCCAGTGTTTCAACATAATTCTCAAGCTTTGCACCTCTATATTGTATTACTTCCTTTGTAACAAGGAAGACAGCTTCATTAGCTGGGAACTTACTGCTATCGAAAACAAACATCTATGTCTACTAGGACTATTCTCTTGCATGCACACACACACACACACACACACACACACACACACACACACACACGCCTCCCCATCCCTTAATCAGTTCTGCTGCAGTGATACGGGAAACTCAAGTTCCTACAGCGGGTAAGAGGCTCATCAGCAAAGACACACAGATAGTCCAAATTTGTAAGACTGCATCTACTCTTCACAAAGGCCACATTTGATCTACCTAAAACTGTCAATTTCCCTCTTAAATATCTGAAATACACTTACCCAAATCCAAAACACCACTATCTCTTAGCAAACTTTATTGCAAGAAGCTTCTTTTGCTACTTTACTCTTAAATATACAAATCTTGGACTGGAGAGATGTTTAGTGGTTTGGAATACTTGTGTTAGCAGAGGACCAGAGCTTGATCCCAGGAACCGCATTCATAAGCTTAAATTCAGGGGATCCAACACCCTCTTCTAGCCTCCTCTGGACCAGGCACACATATGGCATACATACATACATGCAGGCAAAATACACATACCTATAAAATAAATTTTTAAAAAATTTAAAATATTAATGACATTTTAACTTCCAATTAAAATGCTTGACAAGAACAATCTTTGTTTTTTTAATTAATTATTTAATGAAGATCTGCAGTGATGTGGGATACTCAAATTACTACAGGAGTAAAAGGATGATCAGCAAAGTCACACAGGTAACCCAAATTTATACGACTGCATTCACCAAATACTTATTTCACAAAGGCCACTGCATCAGGTTGGGGATTAAAAAGTGAAAAAGAAAAACCAAACCCTTGAGGACTTTTGTCAGATGAAGTAGACTAAGGAATTTAGCCTCAACATGGGCATGACCACAAGTAGAGACAAATCAAGAGCTCTCTATTGACACTTGGACCACTTTGCAGGTGTGGTATACATCAGGATGCTACAAATGAACCGTGAAAAAAGCAATTATAGAGACTTTTGAAGGTCTAAGTGACAAGCCTGGTACAGTTACATTTATGCAACTTTCAAAGTCAAGCTAAAGCTCTGGATCTGAACTAATGGTAAGGGCCTTCCCTAATTCTGAGGAGACAGTAAACATGTACGTAGAAAAAAATGCATTACAACATATTAATTTGGGTAGCCCAAGCCTGTAAACCAAGCTGAAACAGCACAGCCCTGTGTTCGAGGCCAGCCTGGGGCCGAACCATGAGACACAGTCTCACAAAACCAAACCCACCCCAAATTTCAAGAATTTGGGAAGTCAAATTGTCCATTTATTTTGGGTACTGGAGATCAAACCCAGGGAAGGGAAAACAATATTAAGAGGGTGTGTTATTGTTTAAACATGGAACCCCACCACTACCACCACTGCCAAAAAGCCTGTAAGACTTTTTGTGTTTGAAATCTCAGTTCTCAGCTGGTGGCACCATTCTGGAAAACTGTGGAAGAGGGAAGGCCTAGCTGAGGAAAGAGAGCAACTGGGAAGCTAAGCCTTGAGGACTATAGGCTGGTTCTGTCACTTCTGGCCTCCTGCTGTGGTATTTCAGCTGCCTTTCTCCCAGAACACAGCCGTCCCTGCTATGACAGACCGCATAACCCGAGCCAACACAGACTTCGCCCTTAATTTGCCTCTGTCAGGTATTCGGTCATAAAGACAAAACTAAGTAATTCGGGGACTGTAAAGTTTTGTGCAGGACCTGATTCTCACTTGCTAACAATCCCATCATTAAACACTCCATCTCACTGTCCTCTGCCAAATGCCATTTATCCAGGTCCAGCTATGTTCTCTTGCTATTCTTTGTGCTTGAGACACTTCTCTCACCTTTTCATCCAGTTAACTCATCTTTATCTCTTTAGAACATGGCTCAAATGCCAGCTTCTCAAACAAAATTTCTTTACTCTCACAGATCAGGATCTATTCTAACTAAACCCTCAATCTCAAACTCATTAAACTACCTAAGGTGAAATGTGTTTAAATGTGTGTGTGTGTGTGTGTGTGTGTGTGTAGAAATGCATGTGTGCACGCTTAGACCTGAGATACGAACTTCTACTAATGGAAGTCACTAAAGTATTTTATAACAAGTGTACCCTTCAGCAAATTCCTCCTATGTTATTCCAGAAGCAGCCGCAGTGCTGCAAGCCTCAGTTTCACAGCACTGACCACAACTCTGATTTAACCCTTCTTTGTGACACGCCTACTTTCTGCCTCCTCCATTTTAGACCATGGTGTGCTTTCTCTACAGGAATGGATTCCAAATGCCTAGAGTACAGTGTCAAATGGAGTCTACAAATGCCTTTCTTACCTTTTAAGTCTTCCATCAATTCAAACATTCCAGGATAGTTAACTTGAATTTCATCAGTATCCTATTTTTAAAAGAAAAACATAATATTCATGGGACTATCAGAAACAAACAAACAAAAATCAAGCTTTGGAAAGGAGTTATAACTATTTCTCTCAAGGTAAGCAGGAAATGTCCCTTACCAGAGCCTCACGAGTACAAAGTAAATGTCCACCACTGAGCTCTATCTCCACCAAGAATTGTCTTGTTTTGAATATTCTTTGCAATGTTATATTACCAGAATTCTAACAACTGTGCCAGTTTCTTCTCCAAAAGCAAAATGAAGTCACTCTCCTTTATACTGTGATGGTCACTTTTATCTATTTTTCGAGACAGCCTAGACTGTTCTGGAATTCACTATGCTGGCCTCAAACTCAATTATCTGCCTACCTCTGCCTCTATGGAGATTAAAGGCCTTTGCCACCATGTGCGGCTTCTTCTTGTTTTTTGTAAAATATTGCCCCAAAAGGGTGTCATTCTTGGTACTACAAGACCAAGTTAGGCATGGAGTGGACAGAGCAAGTTCCTATTCAATCTCCCAACTCCAAGCATCAATTTAACATACTGTGGTCAGATAAAGGACACATTAGCTATTAAACTGAAAAGAAAATATGTGTCACAGTGTCACAATGGAGAACTGTGTGGGAAGAGAGCATCAGTGAGGGATTGTCTGTATTAGGTGTGCCTGTGGGGCTATCTTGATAGGGGAAGACCTGGCCCACTGTGGGCAGTACTATTCCCTGGGGCTTGGGAATGGATTGTAAAAGAATGGGAAAAGTTTTAAAAACATTTAAAAAGTGGAAAATGTTAGCTTAGTAATAAGCATCCATGCATTTATTCTCTTTCTGTATGAGTGTATTGCTTCAAGTTCCTGTCTTGGGTAGAAGGATGAAGTAGCAGATATCAGAGGAGACTTATTTATACTTCAAAATTTGTTCTATCTTGTCTCACTATATTTACATTTCATTATTATATATTTTAAATATGCATGGTGTGTGTGTGTGTGTGTGTGTGTGTGTGTGTGTGTGTGTGTGTGAAAAAGAGAGAGAGAGAGAAATCATTTTATATAACAGTACTGGGAATTGCACTCAGAGCCTCATACCAGCTAGGTAAAGGGTTCTACCAATGAGCAGACATGGGAACCTAACCCTCTTTAACTAAGTACAAACGAAAGCAATTTATAAAACAGTCAAGTCTGACACTGTACTTTGGAAACACGGTTCATCAACCTATTCTGGCCTCATGATCCCTTTGCCTTTGCGTGCCAAGTGCTGGGATTATATACATCACCACAGTTGGCTAAAGAAGCTTTTACTTCGTTTTTATTCTTATTGTCTAGTGGTAGTGGAGACAGAATCTAGGTAAGAACTCTTTACTGGGCTATATCCTCAGTCCAATGTAGTTCTTTTTTATAAAAATGCAGAGTTTATATTAACAAGTAGTACATATTATCTTTAGTCTTAAAAGAGTAAGTTCTGGGGTTGGAGAGATAGCTCAGCAGTTAGGAGCACTGACTGCTCTTCCAGAGAACCCGAGTTTAATTCCCTGCACCCCACGTGGTAGCTCTGTAACTCCAGTTCCAGGGGACCTGACATCCTCACACAGATATATATGCAGGGAAAACACCAACACACATAAAATTAAAATAAATTGTTAAAAAGAGATATCAACAACAAAAAGAATGAGTTCTAATAAGTTAAGATTTTCTTCTTTTTTTTTCTTTTCTTTACAGGGTTTGCCTGTGTAGCTCTGGCTGTCCAGGAACTTACTCTGTAGACCAGGCTAGCCTTGAATTCAGAGATCCATCAGGCTCTGCCTCCCAAGTGTTGGGATTAAACAAAAGTCTGAAATTCTGAAAACCAAAGTCTAAAATTTTGAGAAATGTTGTTCTCAGAAGAGAGCTAAGATTTGAAGGATTAAAGTCAAATGACAGATTTTTCAGTTTATCTGTAGTTTTAAATTTATAAGAATTACTTGTGAATTACTACTATAATTTTTAAAAATCTTGAAAATATAATAACCCCTCAATGCATAACTTCTTATATCAGTTAATGTTGGTTCTTCAACATGAAGCTATGCTTTCCAATTTTCAGATGTTCAACATCTCAATACCACTTTTTATTGACTTAGACAATTTAAAAATTTATAGACGTCAACACAGACACAGGCAAGACATATCAAGGTAGCTTTCAGCTCGACAAAGCCTTGCCTATTCTCCCAGTCTGTTTTTATTCCCTTCCCCCCTGGAGGTATGTATGTATGTATTTATTTATTTTATATTAGGGTTTCTGCACATTAATCCCTCTTGCATTCTACCACTACACAGGTGGGTATGATATATTAAAATGGATGATCTTACAAAATGCATTTACAATAAGTTAGCTCAAATAGTTTATCATCTCTAGTTATGCAAATGGAGGTTTTCTTCAACAAGAAATTTCAATCACCTCCAATCACATTTAGTTATGTTTCTATGTCAGAAGGATTTGGGAATCATAGTAAATCTATTCAACTCATCTCAAGAGAGAATGAGTCCTGGAGAGCAACTGTGACTGGAGAGGTGGAAAGGAGATGCCTTTCTTCTGGGAAGTTACCCTTAGAAGTTCTAGGAGTAGAAGGAGAGGGGCAGAGAAAGTAGTAGGTATTTCATACCAACAGTCAGGGCACCTCATGCCCTCTGACCACTTAATATCAGGGGCCTCTCGAGGGAAAAAATCATTTACATATTTTTAAGAAATGCTGAGAAACTGAAGTACCTCTCCTAAATTCCCTTAAGTAGTACAAAGATAGTACAGTCACAGAAGCCAGGTGTGTACACCTGTGATCCAAGTACACTGGGTAGAGGCAGAAAGTTCAGTTCAAAGTCACAGTGACTTCCTTATCAACTTAGGGGTGTAACAGACCCACTCTCAAAAACACCTCCCCAAAATAAATTAAGTTATATCCAGTGCGCTATCCCATCAGTCTATGTACGATCTGTTTCTTCTATCCTCGCTGTAAAACTCTCCACCCTGACTTGTAGTGGCATTTCAATTGTATCTTAATAAATAAAGCTTGCCTGAAGGTGAGAGAGTGAAACAGCCCCACTGGTCAGTCTTACAGACCAGGTAATGGCAACACACACCTTTCATCCCAGTAGCCACACTAGTTTGCCACAGAAACAGATGTTGCATGATTTTAATCCTAGTGGTGCACCCCTTTTAATCCCAGTCCTAGAAAGGATTATAAAACGAGAGGAGACAGCTCTCAGTCAGTCTCATTCTGAGGTTTCCTGGAAGCAGGATCACCATTTCAGACTGAGGTGGAGGCAAGAGCCAGTGGCTGGCTGCTTTGGTTTTTGGATCTTCAAGTTGAACCCCAAATTCTCTGAGTGTTTATTAATCATGCACTGACGGAAACAGAGCATGTTCTAACTCAACTAAGCCTAGACTTAGGAGAATGTAGGCATTTGTGTATGCTTGAATTAAGAGCTGGTGGTGGGGACAGTACCACAGATGCCCCTATAATGGATACCTAGTATCACATCTGTAGTGGTCTCATCCCATATTACACCTAACTTGGATATGAAGATCCTAATGGAGTAGAATTTTTTTTAAATATTTATTTATTTATTATGTATACAATATTCTGTCTATATGCCTGCAGGCCAGAAGAGGGCACCAGACCCCATTACAGATGGTTGTGAGCCACCATGTGGTTGCCGGGAATTGAACTCAGGACCTTTGGAAGAGTAGGCAATGCTCTTAACCTCTGAGCCATCTCTCCAGCCTCCTGGAGTAGACTTTTTAAAAGTCTCTCTCAAAGGTATTGGCAACACGACTCAGCAGGTTCAGTCCTGAAGCCCACAGTAGAACTGACTCCGAAACGTTGTCCTCTGACCATGCCATACCTTCCTCTTTCACAAGATAAATACGTATTATTTAAAGGGAAGTCTCTTCATAAACTGTGATCATTTTTTTGGAGCTACTTATCCTGAAATATAAATACTGAAGAGTTTCTGTTCCTGGCATTTCAGTCAGGCTGTGTTTATGCGCACTAAAGACAGTAAGGACACACTCTCAAAAAAAAGGTAAAACAAGGAGAACTGGCCCAAGCAATACAATTGATTAGTGGGTTACTCGGGTCTCCGGATACTCACCACAGTCAGGGTATTGAAACCAGCTCTCCCAAGCAGATGTCCTAGGTCATTGACAGCAGTGAAGGGAGAAATGTGTGGGGAAAACCCTCCTTCTCGTTCTGTTTCTGCTAACTGTAATGAACACCGAAGTTCATAGAGCGTGTCACCACCAAACATCGCGCCAACAAACACCCCATCTGGTTTTAAGACATAATGAATCTGTAATAAATATAACAAAACTATTCAAATTTTACAGACAGCAATATCAAATGCATCCAAGTTAGTATTTATGACTACCAACCTTATTTTGCCAAATAAATGAGAAAGTAAATAACTTCAGACAAGAAACCCAGACTCACTGCTGTATGGTATGTAGTAATGTTGTATAGTAATGACAAAGACATTCACTAATGATACTAGTATCTATAAGATGCCTTATGTTTTCAAATTTTATAGATACAACTTGCTTTTTACAGTAACAGAATACTACAAGAAAAAAACATTTAAAGAATGATAGCTAATCAAAATTATAATTCTTCCTTCCTGTTCATGCTCTCTGAAAAGCAATTCTATAAGATGTCCCACCAATGGATGTCATTTATTTCCCAATCCTTTAATCTGGGCTGAACTTGTGGTTTATTTTGACTAAAGAAATGCAGTACAAGTGACAGCTCATGACTTTCAGCCTAGTGGAGACCAGTCCTCACACAGTCCTGTATGTTCTCTCGGAACACCCCATCATCTACCCAGTACCCTCTGTTCACTTACTGACAAACACCAATCTACAGGCATTCACCTAACACTTCCTGAGAGTAATACAAAGGAGAGACACAACATAAACAAGTTCCTATGCAGAAAATATTTACAAGCAATAAAGGAAGAGAAGAAATTTTAATATAGAATATGCTTTGTAGCCAGGCAGTGGTAGTGCACACCTTTAATCCTAGCACTCAGGAGGCCAAGGCAGGCAGATCTCTGAGCTTGAGGCAGGCCTGGTCTACAAAGTGAGTTCTGGGATAGTCACGGCTACATGGAGAAACCCTGTCTCAAAAAACAAAAACAAACAAAAGAACACACCTTGTGATACCAATATTATTCTACACAGTAATTAATTAAGTCTTTTATAAACATCTCTACAATCAACTATTCTTAAAGTTCTCAAGGAATGCCACCTAATGTATATATTTGTGGGTCAAAGAGAGTACCAAGGATACCCAGCCCATAGAACATTATAAACACTTGGTTTCATTCCACACTGTCAGACTTTTGAACGTGAAAACAACAACATTTGTCAATCTGTGATAATAAGCTAACACAGAACTGAGTCAACACAAGTTTTCTCACCTGTTCAAGTGCTCTAGGAAGGTCATTCACCCAGTGCAAACTAAAATAGAAACACATAGTTGCTTAGCCTTCATTAATATAATTATCACTAGGCTAAAACCACAAAAAGGAATTGAATTTTGAAATCTGAAATTAAATTCTACACTTCCACAACTCTGACCTTTTTAACTGTCTCCATACTTTTGTCCTTTCCAGAATGTCATACAGTTGGAACCAGCATACACAGCTTTTTGAATAACCTTTCATTTGGTAACATGTCTAAGTTTCCTGCATTCTTTTCATGTTTTGACAGCTTATTTCTTTTTAGTGCTAAATAACTGCATTGTCGAGATGTACAATTCAACCACTTAGTACTGAAGGGCATCTGTGCTGGATAGTGTTACGTTAACTTGACACAAGCTAAAATCATCTGAGTGGAAAAAAACAATTAAGAAAATGGCTGTAGGAAATAATACTGGGCTGTAGACAAGTCTGTAGGGCATTTTTTTAATTAGTGATCAGTGGGAGAGTGTCCAGCACATTATGAGTGGTACCACCTCTGGGCAGGTGGTCCTGAGTTCTGAAAGAGAGCAGGCTGAGCAAGGCAGGGGAGGCAAGGCAGGAAGTAGCACTCCGCCATGGCCCCTGCATCAGCTCCTGCCTCCAGGTTGCTGCTCTGCTTGAGTTCCTGCCCTCACTGCCTTTGATGATGAGCTTTACATGGAACTGTGAGTGAAATAAACCCTTTCCTTCTTAAGTTGCTTTGGTCAAGGTTTTTCATCACAGCAATAGTAATCCTAAGACAACATCTTAGTTGCTTCCACGTTCTGCAGCGGTGAAAAGTACTTGTTAATCTTGCAGAGGACCGAGTACAGTATTTAACGCCCAATCGGTGGCTCACAACTATCTGTAACTCCAGATCCAGAAGACTCTACATCCACTTCTGGCCTCCACAACTACCAGACACACATGTAGTGCACATACATACCCGCAGTTAAAATACTCACATGCATAAAACAAAATAAATCTAAAACTTTTTTAAAAGAACAATTTATTATTCATGTTAACGATTTTGTATATATATATAAGTTTTCATTTCTTTGGGTAAATACCAATGAGTATAAATGCTGGAAGCTAACAAAGTATGTTCAAGTTTCAGGAAATCATGAAACAGTCTTTCAAAGTGTCTATCATTTTGCATTCCCACCAGAGTTCCTGGTGCTCTACACCCTTGCCAGTAGCTGGAGAAGCCAGTGTCTGAATTTTTTTCTGTTTTAAAAGGTAGATAGTAGATCCATCACCTTTTAAGACAATGGAAATCAAAGCAAAGTGTTCTAAACTTATACATAAGAAACTTTTTAAATCTCATGTTTATTCTCTCACGTGTGACAGGAAAAGAGTGTTAGCAAATTGTATGTAGAAACTTGAGAATAAAAATAAATTTACGACACTACATCATATTTCCACTAGGATGTCCTGAATCCTTAATTGTTAAACAGAAGAATCTTAAAGATTACAAATTAAGATAACCAGTTTGTAACTAAAAAGAAATTATTCTATCATGGTGAAGATTATATAGCTCAGTAACAGAGTGCTTGTCTTTAACCCAAGGCCTTAGGTTTAATTCCAGGCGGGGTGGGGGTAGGGAGTTAAATTAATCCATTATCCACTGCTATCCTAAACTATTACAATGTAAATTAGACCTATTTATAACATACATATATACCCACACGTATGTGTGCATATACACATGTACATGCCTGCACATGCATGCACATGGAAGTCGGAGGCTAACCTCATGCTTGCTTCTCAGGTTCTCACCATATTGTTTAAATAGTCTCTCACTGGTCTGGAACTCATCAAGTAAGACTGAGCTGCTGCTGGCCATGGAGCCCCAGGGAGCTGCCTGTCACGGCCTCTCCAGAGTTGGAACTACAAGTATGTGCCACCATGCCTGCCTTTATGTGGGTTTTGTAATTCAAACTTCCATCTTCATGCTTATGCAGCAAGCACTTTACCAAACAAGGTATCTCTCCAGCCTCTTTAACATACTTTTTAAAAGTTCAAATGGATTACTAACCTTAAGCTGCTAACCACCAGGTCAAATGTGTTTTCTTGAAAGGGAAGGAATTCTTCATCAGCTAAAATATTCACAGTAGGTATATCTGTTTCTGAGGAATTTTTCTAATGGTAAAAAAAACAAGTTCAACATATTTAAATAGAGTTTCAATTACTAAGACAATCACTGTTAAATACTGTTAATGTTATATTCACTCAGTAGTGTCTACCAAAAAACAAAACACAGCACAAAATGTGGTACACAAAAGGCACTCAAGAATTAAGTAACATCTAGTTGTTCCAAAAAAATGTAAGAAATACATCCATTCACACTAAAACAAATCTCAGCAACTGAACATTTCAGTGCAACAAATGAAGCCACAAAGTACTAGAAGTAAATCTGGGTGACCCTTTATACTTTTAAGATTTTTTTTTTAAAACCTATATAAACATGACTAAAATGTTAGAAAGTGTAAATGAAAATATTGATGTTTTATGACAAACTAATTTTTAAAAGCTTCTAAAAAGCAATAAACAGCCGGGCGGTGGTGGCGCACGCCTTTAATCCCAGCACTCGGGAGGCAGAGGCAGGCGGATCTCTGTGAGTTCGAGACCAGCCTGGTCTACAAGAGCTAGTGCCAGGACAGGCTCCAAAGCCACAGAGAAACCCTGTCTCGAAAAACCAAAAAAAAAAAAAAAAAAAAGCAATAAACAATGTGAAAGTAGGTGTATTATAAATTATGAAGAGTTAACATCTCTAAAATATAAACTTTTACAAATGACCTAGAAAAAAAAATACATGTATAAGCTCAAGTCAATGAAGGTCAGAGGAAAGGCTCGTCAAAAAGTTATTTTAAAAATTCAAAGTCAAGGAATACCAATGAGTGTCAGGTGTGGTGCTGCACACCTTTAATCCCAGCATTTGATGGCAGAGGCAGGAAGACCTCTGTGAGTTCAAGGCTAACCTAGTCTACACAGCTGTTCCCGGACAGCCAGAGCTGTTATACAGAGAGAAACCCTGTCTTAAAAAAACAAAAAGAGAAAGAAAGAAAGAAAGGAAGGAAGGAAGGAAGGAAGGAAAGAAGACAGACAGACTGATTGGCAGGCAGTTAGTTTGTATTCTTTGCAGAGGACCCAGGTTGAATTTCCAGCACCCAAAAAGGCTCACAACCATCTGTAACTCCAGTTTCAAGGCACCCGATGCCCCCTTCTTGTTTTCACAAGCAACAGGCATGCACATGATACACATACATACAACCAGGCAAAACACTCACAAATACAAACTAAAAATAAACTTTGAAAAAGAAACACACCCATGCCCAGAGAGAAAGACAAAGACAGACAGAAAGACTCTGACTGACTGATAAATGGCCGAAATCCAATAATCAAGTTATTTTACTGAACTAGTAATCAAAAACAGAAAAAATTAAAAAGGCAATTTTAACTTTTTACTTGTCTGAGTAACAAAAACAAAAGGGGCTGGACCAGGGTTACCAAAGAAAAGAAGAAAAAAAGCACTTTCACGGAAAATCCTCATTCATCTTTCTAGGGACAATCTGGAGACATATACTGAACATGAAAAATAAATGAACAAATATATTTTATCAAGAATTTATCTACAGGCAAAAGTAAATAACCAAACACACAGTCACTTCCCAGGTGATGTTAACAGCAGGATGCTACCGAGAAACCAGAACTGCAGCAGGGTTCTAGACCTGCTCAGAGAAATCTGCTATGTGATGCTCACATACTGGCAGGCTATGTGGTCATTTTAAAAAGAGGTACACACATATAAACAATATTCAAACAGAGTAACATCCCATAAAACCATGGAATGTTAATGTGCTACTGTTCACATGAACTTGGGCAATGGAGGTAGTTACACGTTTATAAAGGTGGGAGGCCAAACGGCCCCAACAGCTGTCTCTGGGAAGTAAGATTAGGAATCTCTTCCTTATGTATTCCTGTATTGCTTGAGTCTTCCTCATGTGTACATATTTATAATTACACTTACATTACATTGTGAAAGAAATAAAGAACGAAAAATTAAGCCAGGTGGTCAGAAACAAAGAGTATTAAAAAGCTACCTACCAAAGCATGTTCTGCAATGTCTGTTTGGAAAATCTTTCCCACAATCTCCTGCAATAGGATAATCAGAGAAAAACAATTACCAAAATTTCCAAAGGAGTAAATTATAATTTTCAGTTTTGTAATGTTATTTTCTGATCAAGTCCAGTATGATATGCAAATTTAGAAGACATAATGAATACCACAGATTTAATGCATGAAATTAATTATATTAATACATTTAACTTATTTAAGAAAATAAAGAATACATCCTGCTCTACTCAACTACGTGAACTTGTCTTGGTTTAACACGCTACAAGCTAGACTGCACACTCCTGTGACAAAGGACTGGAACAGATTCCTGCTTTCAGTCTCCATTCAAAGAGTTTACAGAAAAAGCAAGAAAGGAGCTAAGGGACTCATTTCCGTTTCAATGATCCTCTCTTCTTCCGAGAGTAAAAGGGTTCGGACGACTTCTGTCCCACACTAAATTCCCCATGCTGCTCTTTTCTCCAGGATCCTGATCCCTCCATCATTACTTCCTCTAATCTTTAATCTGGATCTTCTGGTCTCTTCTTCTCACCTAACAAGAACCATTATCTTCCCAGTCTTGAGAAAATTCTTACCTCTGAGCACCTTTTTGGTTTTATCCAGTTTTATTTGTGTATTAGAAACGTACACTTGATAGTTTTTTGCTTATAATTAAGGACTCTACTCATGAGGTCCACAATTCTTGGTGCCTACCATGTCACTGTTCACTAAATCGCCCCCTAGTGGCGGCTCACGGTCTAAGCATGAGCACAGCAGTCTGTTCTCACTGGGTCAGTCCTGGTAAGTCTATCTCTTCATCTATAGCACCATGAGACCTCCAGGAAACATCTTCAGTGATTTCTATTGCAGTTTCACAGTTAGAGAAACCACTACTTTTCAGCTCACAGCACATTCACTTTTTTGGCTCAGTACTTAGCAAGCGTATATCCTACCAATACTTTGTTAGGCAGCGGGAAGGGTAAAGAGAGCACTGAAAGTTGAACTGTTTGCTGATTTCCATGGCATAGCTACTCCGGCAAGGTGGATTACATGCTACTTGATGCACGCTTGGTAAGAGAGGTACGGAACTGGTTCTCAGATGCCAGTTCCAAGACACTACTGTGGAGAGCAAAGAAAGAAGCTAATCAATCTGATTATCTATCAGCCTCTCTCTTGAAAATCTGAACAAAGATACATATAGACAGGAGCAAAGGTCTCTGAACTAGATAGTACAGACACTTAAGGTTAGAGAGGTTGCTAAAAACTAACTCTTGGCAGGGTTACAAAATAGTAGTACTTGACAGTTTCCTTGGTGTGACTATTTCTGCCATAGCTGATTTCAAGTTATCGATACAATGCCATTAAACAGAGTTGGAGAGATATAACAATTAGCTCTTATGAGCTGGAAAAAGCTAGATTGGGACCACATACATCAAAAATACTAGGGATAGTCTACAAGAGAGAAAGACAGAAGATAACATGTAGCATCCATGTAACCCCAGAAAGCATGTAAACATGGGTATCCTTCATACTTCGGTTTCTACGTCCCAATATCTTGTGAGAGACAGCTCTACTGCAAAATCTGAGTTGCATGAGAACTTCCAAAAAAATATCTCTATTTAAATTGACTTCTGCTTCTTTAAAATCAAAAGATGGGCCAGAGACACAGCTTAGTAGTAGAGTCCACATTAGGCAAGTATTCTATCACTGAGTTATACACCTACTGAGTTGAAGTTACCTTAACATTCGTACATTTATCATGTCAAGATTATTCATTGAGGGTTATAGGAACTACGATTTTGGTAATAAACAAAAATTAGCAAGTCTAGTACAAGAAGAAAGACACTAAAGAAACACCATGGACTATTAAGTGCTATGGAACTTAGGGTCGGCAAAAGTGGAGCACTATTTTAGAAAGTAACCGTAAGACTGTTGAGATGGCTCTGTGAGTAAAGATGCCAGACGCCAGCCAATCTGATGACCTAAGTTCAGTCACCAGAACTGACATGGTAGATGGATATAATCAGCTTTCTATATCCTCTGATCTCCATGAGTGTGGTGTAACAGGCATGCACTTGCACACATACAAACATACACGAGATACATTATTATGAAGAAGTTAGAAGAGAATCCAACAGTCTGAGAAGATGGAGTATTACTTGGCTTCTACTTTAAAATGATCACCCTGAAGTGAGAACAGATTGTTGGGGCCAAAGACAGAAGCAGGGAGACCAATGTGGAAGTAATTGCAACAGTTTAGGCAAGAGGCGCAGACAGCCAGGGTCAATGTGGTGAGACAAAGGCAGAAAGGAGTGGAGCTGCAGATATATATGAAATCCAAAAGAGAATTCCAGACCCAATCACTCATCAAGTTCTGCTGGGTTTATTAGCTTTTTCATACATTACAGCTTTTAAATCTGTTCATCTCCTAAGACTACACTGCCTTTAACACTGCCTCCTAACGAATCTGTCTTTCTCTCTTCTTTACTAATTTATACATGACATACCAAATTAATAGTCCCTAAGCATCACTATATCATACTCCACAGCACTCTCCCTGACGTTCTGCCATGCTGACTTTCAATGCTATGAACCACCAACCCAGATCCTGTGCCTCTAAAACTGCATCAAAGTTTCTCCTAGCATTTAACTTTCACTGCACTTCAGTAAATGTTTTATTTCCTATGGCATTTCTTATTGTCAGTAGTAGCAATTGCAGAGTCTCACAATTCCCCTGCACCCCTGCTCAAATATATGCTTTATCAAAACAGATTTTTCTGAAGACATTTCAGGAGCTTTGGAATGGCTCAGAAGTTAAAGAGTATCTTCTGCTCTTTCAGAGAATTCAAGTTCATTTCCTACCCACGTCAGGTGGCTCACAACCCCAGGGGATCCAATGTCTCTCGTCCCTGTGGGCACCTGCACTCAGGTGCACATATTCACATGCCAACATATCTGCACATAACTAAAAATAAGACAAATATTTTTTAAATCCCATTTTCATGTTTGTGTCTAGCACAGTGTCTTATGCACAAAGGATAAAAGAATAAGTGAATAAATGAATGTATTTATGATTTGGGGGGATATGAATAAGAATGGCCCCCAGAGGCTCACAGATTTCAATGTTTGGTCATTGGGGAATGCCCCTACTTAGGGTTTAGGTGTGAACTTGTTGGAGGAAGTGTGTCACTGGGGGTAAGCTTTAAAAGCTTTAAAGTTTCAAATGCTCAAGTCAGGCCCAGTGTCTCTTCCTGCTGCCTGCAGATCCAGATGTAGAACTCTTTCTCTAGTACCATGTCTGCCTGCGTGCCACTATACTTCCCGTGATGACAATAATGGACTAAACCTGTAAGCCAGCCCCAATTAAATGTTTTCCTTTATAAGATTTGCTGAGGTCAGAGGCTAGAGATGGTTCAGGAGTTAAGAGCACTGGCTTCTTCCAGAGGTCCTAAATTCAATTCCCAGTAACCACATGGTGGTTCAAAATCATCTGGCACCCACTTCTGGCATGCAGGCAGAACAGTGTACACAATAAATTAAAAAAAAAATCAAAAGGCTCCTCACAATAGAAATCCTAAGACATGGCTTGTGTTAGAAAATGTGAAATAAACTATTACGAGTACTATTAAATGCTATCTATATTTTATACAGCTTCTAACTAATAAAATTAATTTTTCTTTTCTTTTTTTTTTTAAATATTTATTTATTTGTTATGTATACAATATTCTGTCTGTGTGTATGCCTGCAGACCAGAAGAGGGCACCAGACCCCATTACAGATGGTTGTGAGCCACCATGTGGTTGCTGGGAATTGAACTCAGGACCTTTGAAAGAGCAGGCAATGCTCTTAACCTCTGAGCCATTTCTCCAGCCCCTAAAATTAATTTTTCTTGATTATGAATGTATGTATTCTGCATTGCCAAGAGTCAAATCCAGAGCTTCACATACGATGAACAAGCGTTCCGCCATTGCACTACACACCAGCTAATTATCAAAAATGCTTAAACAAAATGAAAACAAAGAGAAAAATATATAGGTTTAAAGAAATTATTGAATTTCTTTAGAATACTTAAATTCCTTTAAAATTATTATATTAGAAGCACTAAATAAATGTTTAGCAATTTTAACATAATCGAAATCTAAATAACTAAAGTGATAAGGGAAGTCTTTTCTTAAAATAAACTAAATTAGGGGCTGAGGAGACGACTCAGTTGCCTTCAAAGCACTGTGAGTTCAATTCCCTGAACCCACATTTAAGAAAGCTGATCACAGTGGTTCCTGCAATGCTTGCAAAGGGGTAGAAGAGACAGGCAGCTCCCAGGGCTTCCTGGCCCCCTAGTACAGCCTACTTGGCAAGAAGATGGCCTACAAGAGACTTGTCTTAAAAACCACATGTACCTGCACACACAAACAAATGCTCTAGGGATACTTATGTATGTATGCACACACAATTTTATTTTTTAAAATTGATTAAGCCAGTGTATAAAATACCTTATTTAAATGTTGTGCTATGTAGCCTCTTCCACATCCCACATCCAGTGCAAGGGGAAAATCTCTGAAAAAAACAGACATAAAAGCTAAGCTTTGCAATACAGTCCATAAAATAATCAAGAACTAATCTTCAGTAAAAACATTTTACTAACTACACCTTTCAGGAGCCTTGACGCACCAGCTCTATCTAGCAGAAGATATAACGTTCTACTTTCCATATGAAATGTCATCAAGCGTTTTTAAACTTGGGCTGGGGCTACAGCTCAGTGGGAGAGTTCCTGCTTAGCATGTGCAAGACACTCAATTCAACCTCCAGCACCACAGGGGAAAAAAAACAACTAAAAACACGCCCTCTAAAAACTTCAAGAATTATTGAAAACTTAGGAGTACAGTAAGTTCCAAGTGTCCAGGTCTAAGTAAGTCAATTCAAATACCTTCTTTCCCTTTAAATACATATTTTTAATTCTTATTTTATATATCTCAATGTTTTGATGGCAATGTATTGTATGTATATCATGTGCACGCCTGGTGACCATGGAAACCAAAAGTGGGCATTCGATTCCTTAGAACTGAAGTTACAGATGGCTGTGAACCTTCACGTGGGTACTGAGTACAGAACCAAGTCCTCTGGAAGCACAACCAGTTCTCTTAACTACTGAGCTGTCTTCCAGGTCCCAACTCAAACATCTCATATAAGCAGCAATCAATACTTGAATTGAGTCAATCTGAACCCAGAGACAGAAGAGTAAAGCTCTGTATCAGACTAGCTCCTCTAAATTGGAACACACATCAACTGTTTCTATAAACAAAAGAACAGAAAGAACTGCAGTTTAATTTTTCTTAAGAATGGCTGCCAAGGGAGATGCAGGGGAGGAGGACTGTGGTTGGAATGTAAAATGAAATTTTAAAAAATAAATTAATTAAAAAAAAGAATGGTTGCCAAAACTGGGCTGAGGAGATGGCCTACTTAATAAAGTGCTTTCCATGTGAGCATGATGACTTCCAAGCACCAGCACCCACATAGAAGTGAAGCTTAAGTGTGGCAGCACGTGCCTATAATCCCAGAGCTGGAAAGGAAGAGACAGATGGAGCTCTGGGGCTTGCTAGGCAGCACGAAAGAAACTGCCCCCAAAGGGAGTGGCGCTACTAGGAGGTGTGGCCTTGTTAGAGGAAGTGTGTCACTGTGGGAGCAGGCTGAGATTTCTTATGCTCAGGATACCACCCAGTGTCTCAGTTAACTCCCTGTTGCCTGCAAGATGTAGGATTCCCAGCTACTTCTCCAGCATCATGTATGCCTGTATACCGCCATGTTCTACAACATGTGATAAAGGATTGAACCTCTGAACTGTAAAATGTAGTGGTGTTTCATTTATATTTTAATAAATAAAGCTTGCCTGAAATCAGAAAAGTAAAACTGTCACACTGGCCAGCCTTACGGACCAGGCAGTAATGGCACACACCTGTAATCCAAATAGCCACAATAACACACACCTTTAATCCCAGTAGCTTGCCATAGAAACCAGGCCATAGTGGTGCACGCCTTTAATCCCAGCCCTAGAGAAGATTATAAAATGGGAAGAGACAGCTCTCAGTCTCAATCTCATCTGAGGTTTCCCAGGGGCAGGATCACCATTTTTGAACTGAGGTTAATGTAAGAGCCAGTAAATGGCTGCTTTGCTTTTCTGGTCTTCCAGATGAAACCCAATATATGTCTCTGAGTTTTTATTGATTATATATCAGTAAGCAGGACACCCCAATTAATTGTTTTCCTTTATAAGAGTTGCCCTGGTCATCGTGTATCCTCACAGCACAGAAACCCTATCTGAGACACCAGTCTAGTACAATCAGCAAGGTCCAGGCAAGACTCTGTCTCAAAAAATATGGGAAAACGTGACAAGGAAGACACCCAACATCAACCTCTGGTTTCAGTATGCGTTAAGTACATATGCACACTCATACCTGCAACACATGTATGCACACATGTTCATGCATACACATAAAAAAATGATAAAAAGATAATGTCAAATTATAAAATACCAGATGGAAAAACACTACTGACATTTTATTTTACTTAATGTTTTATGTCTGGATTATGAAGGAACAATAAATAATACTTTTAGAATTAGAAAAACATGTATTCAAATTTTGGACCTGTACATGTGACTAAACGTGATTAAGCCTGGCTACATCTGTTTCCTCATCAATAAAATGAAAAAGTGTGGGGTCAGGGAGAGAGCTCCATGAATAAGAGCACTTGCTGCATTTGCAGAGGACCCAGACTCAGTTTCCAACACTCATATCAAGTGGCTAATGACTACCTGCAACCCTAGTTTTTCCAGACTCTGTAGGTACCTGCATTTACATATGCTCAGGTGCACATATATACAGATAAAATTAAAAACAAAGTCTTCAGAAAACAAAAGAAATTACTGCTTTTACTATGTATAAAATATTTAGCTCAGTTTAACTGTTTAAGAAAAATGAGTTATCTCACTGTTTAACAGTACTAAAAGGCCCCAACTCTTAAAAATTGTAATAAAAATCTGTGTAGTTTTTTAAATTAATAAAGCAGAGCACTGATAATACAAACTTCTCAGCTGTTTATTTGTTTATCCTTATGATACAAAGGATGGAAGCTGTAGGCTTGTGCATAGTAAGCACAAATCTAAGCTTGTTAAGTACTAATAATGGACAGGATGTCAACACAAGAACATTTAAAGGTATTTTAAAGAATTTAATTCCAAACATTTAATGTTTAAATTAAAATTTCAGTCACAATCACAACAATCTTCATGGATTTAGCTTTATTATCCTTATAGCTGTGACATAGTTTGTGAACTCCAAACTGAAAAGCAAAACTTAATGATTCATTCATTAAATCACAAACAAAGTATAATTCAGGGAAATGGTAACAGTAAGCTATTTTTGTCTTTAAAATAATTAGTGACAAAAATGAAAGGAGGGGGCCTTTTGCCATAAGGAAGTATTTTCTACCTTACAAAATTATAGACTCCTTTTCATTTGTAAAGGTGTATCTAAAATACAGTCGGAGAGCCTGTGATTTTATAAAACTCTCCCTGCTTTTAACAGAAAACTGTGATAAATTTATCCTATTTGGTATAATTCAATGAAGGTCATGTAAAGAAAAGTCAACAAAAAGGAGTGATTTGCTAATGTCAGAGACCAACAGTTCCACTACATGGTGACAAGCCGGAATCAATAAAGCTTTCATTACGCCCAGAGCATGGAGCAACAGATACATCAAGATTTTTATACTACTTAATGAAAGTGTTCTTTCTCAAGTCATTCCCCAGAGAATCGTCATAAAATCTGTACTACCATTAGCAATGTATAAGATAAAATGGGCAAGGCCTTACCGACATAAACTGGGAAACAAATCTAGCTACACTTTCTCCCTCACTCAAATGGCAAAAGATTCTATTGCTCATTTCAGTAAAACCTATATGTAGGTTTAATAAATCTTAAGATTTCACATGTAGTCAACATTTTAGTTCTATATTTGAGCAATCTCTCTATTACTAAATTTGGTCTAAACCAAAGAGATCAGCCATTCAGGCTTGAAGAAAGGCAAAAGTTTTACATCCATACTATTTTTTAAAAAAGAAAATAACAATGAAGAAAATGTCATTTGCTTTCCCAGACAAGAAAAAAGACAGCCAGGTGGGGCCATGCATACTCATCATCTCAGCACTCAGGAGGCAGAGGCAAGAGGAGTGCCATGAGCTGGAAGCCAGCAAGCCTGGGCTACATCGTGAGACCCTATCCCAAGCATCTGAAAAGGAAAGAAGATGTTTAGAGTTATTTATATCGCCAATTCTGGTAATAAAATTCTCACATATCAAGTTCTCATCATTTAGTTTCAAGTCTCCACTCAAGGACAGACTTTGTTGCTCACCAGGAGTAGTGGAGCACGTCTGTATTCCCAGATGCTCAGGTCAAGGCCAGGCCTAGGGGTTAGAGCAAGATGCTGTTCAGGGAAAGAGAGACAGAGAAACTAAGAGGAAAGACAAGCGGGGAGAGAGAGAGAAAAAGAGGGACTGCATCTCATTATAACATCATCTCCTACCTGGCTATGTCATACACACGGTCTGCAATCCGACTGCCAACCTGAAAGATTTCAAATCAGTGGGTTAAATACACAGAGAAGGTTTAACAGAGAACATTCTTTTTTTAAACCTAAGAGTCAACTTACATTTCAAAATGAAAAGTACTTTGTAATCCCATTTTCTATTTTCCTACAGCAACTTTCTTTACAAATACTGGATATAGATAAAATATTATAAAACATATCCCTGGAAACAAAGTGAAGCAAATTACTTTAGAGCCAATTTAATAAAATCAAGATTAAATAATCTGCTAAGTGTGGCAGCTATATATGTCTATATATGTTTATAGACCTAGCAGTCAGGAGGCTGAGGCAGGAGGATTGCCACAAATCTGAGTGGTCTGTAATAAATGGTGACATGTTGAGTTCCAAGCTAGCAAATACTATAAAGACCCTTGTCTCAAAACCACAAAAACAACATAAGGACGAGGACGCTGAGACAGGTGGATCTCTTGTGAGTTTGAGGCCAGACTGGTCTATATTACATAGTGAATTCCAGGACAACCAGAGAGATTCTGCCTCAAAAAAAAAGGGGGGGGGGGCTGGAGAGATGGCTCAGAGGTTAAGAGCACTGATTGTTCTTCCAGAGGTCCTGAGTTCAATTCCCAGCAACCACATGGTGGCTCACAACCATCTGTAATGAGATCTGGTGCCCTCTTCTGGCCTGCAGGCACACATGCAGACAGACCACTGTAAACTAACTAAATAAATAAATAAATAAATCTTAAAAACAATATTAAAAAAAAAAACTTGCTCTAAATAATCTTAAAAAATGGTATACATACTTGGCCTTTGTATTCCATGTGATGCAAGATAAGAATGAAAAGGAAAGAAACATTATCCTGATTGGTTTTTTTGTCAGCTCAACACAAATCCAGACATACCTGGAAGAGAGAATTCTTTCTTTCCTTCTTCCCCCCAATCCCTTTGGTTTCTCAAGGCAGGATATCTCTGTGTAGCCTTGGCTGTCCTGGAACTCGTTTTGTAGACCAGGCTGGCCTCAAACTCACAGAGATCGCCTACCTCTGCCTCCTGAATGCTGGAATTCTAAGTGTGGGCCAAAAAGGCCACATGAAAGAGGGAAATCTTAGTTGAGAAAATGTTTCCATAAGAGCAGCCTATAGGCCAGGTTGTAGGGCACTTTCTTGATTACTGATGGATGTGGGAAGATCCAGTTCATCCTGGGTCGTGCCGCCCCTAGGGCAGGTGGCCCTGGATGGTATAAGAAAGCAGGATAAGCAAGGCATGAGGAGCAAGCCAGCAAGGAGCATGATTTCATAGCCTTTGTTTCAGTTCCTGCCTCCAGGTTCCTGGCCTGACTTCCCTCAGAAATGAAGTGTAACTTGGGAGTTGTAAGATAAATCCTTTCTTCCTCAAGTTGTTTTTGATCATAGTGTTTTATCACAATAGAAACCCCAACTAAGACCAAGACAACTGTAATGTTAAATTGAGAGCATCACCCCAGTCCCTGGCATCCATCCCAGCCTCCTGGCCTGAGAGTTTGCATTGGTCTGGACTCCAAATCCCAGAGCATGCCAGGTCCTGACCCCTCCCACAGGGTATTTAAGTGGGAGCCCAGAAGAGGAAGACATGGTCCTGGGTTTTACATATGCTCCCCGGTTCCCCTGCCAAGCTCTAGGCCAATAGAAAGTGTTGCATTTAATAAAACATGGTCTAATTGGATTTCTTTGCGCCGGCGGAGCGGCTCGTCTTGGGATTTTTCCTAACAACAACTGAAATGTTAGTGTTCACAGACATTGGCATGAAATACATTAAATTAAAAATTATTCACCTTGGCTCAGGATTATAAATCAGTATATAAATGATCACTTAATAAAAACTTAGTACAAACTTTGTGTAGTAGCTTCTAAATGAATTAACTATGTTTTTGCTTTGTCTGAGAAAGGACACCCAGGCTGGCTTTGAACTCATAACAACCCTCTAATCCCCAGCTTCAGCCTCCTGAATGCCAGGATCACAGACGTGTGTTACCACACTCACCCGATCTACATTAACTGCTTTTTTTGTCCCTTTAGTAACTTTTGCAAATTAGTGAACATCAAGTCTGGAAAAATACAGTTGACCAGCTCTCCCAGCACAATATAAAAGAAATTCGTCCGGGTGGTGGTGGTGCACGCCTTTAATCCCAGCACGGGAGGCAGAGGCAGGCGGATCTCTGTGAATTCGAGGACAGCCTGGTCTACAAGAGCTAGTTCCAGAACAGGCTCCAAAGCTACAAAGAAACCCTGCCTATAAATAAATAAATAAATAGAAAGAACGAAAGAAAGAAAGAAAGGAAGAAAAGAAAGCTGAATGGCAAGTACCACACTGCACTGGGCTAGTGACATCTGGCGTTGAAGTCTACTATTCCTTCACACACTTCACTCAGCCTCTTATAAACATTCTGGAGCTGTGATTACTATTTGAGAACTCGGAATATAGTTGTTTTTGTTTTGAGAGGGTGATGGGCAAGGGTTAGGTACATCGAAGTCTTTTCCCTTCATATACTTTACTGAATATATTCTAGTTCTGCATTCACGCGGCTTCAGTCGGGCTGTAATCCGGGTGCTTTTCTTGAACAGAAAGAGGTGCTTGTTGAAAGGCCCCTACAGGGCCTTTCCGCCTCAGGAGTTCGGGACTTATTTCTTCCTTTTCCTAGGTGACTCGTCCTATCTCCCATCTCAGCTCGACTGATTTCTCACATCTTTCTCCACAGCAGCCGCTCTTGACCATCCGTGCCATCAATCAGGCTATTTCACTTCTTCTTCACCTCATTTGGCTGAAATTACATACCATGTCTACGTGTGTCTCGCGCTCTCTCCTTAATGCTATCCTACAAAAGCGGGGGTCTGGAGTGTGTGTGTTTGGGGGCGGGAGGAGGTTATTGCTTTGCCCTGGAACTCAAGCAGAAGCAGTACTTGCTAAGCGAATGAGTGACTGCCGTGCCGTGCACACTACCCGAGCCCCGGACTTTAAGAATACAAAGGCCTGGAAAGGTGAAGCTTCTTCTCAAGGTCACAGGGCCGGGTGGGTCTGCCTGCCGTGCCGGGCTCCGCGCCTCCCTCCGTCGCTGTCCCGCGGTCTCACCTCCTCCTTCAGGTAGTCAAATTTCATGGGCTCAGGCTGTCGAGCTGCCCAGTTTTTCTGCTTCCTCTTCAATTCCCTGTCGAAGATGTTTAGGGCTCTGGGCGAGGTGCTGCCCGAAGGAGGAACACCGGAAGCTACCTCCCTGCGACCACCGTTCCCTGCGGAGACCGCCGGGCCCCGGAGCCGCGTTAGCCGCCAAAGCAAGACCGGTCGCAGCATCTCCGGCCACGGGGCCACAGCAGGGCATAGTTTTCTATTGTGCGCATGCGCTGGTGGGAGTACGGCTAGCACAACGACACAAAATTGTTCCAAGAGGAAAAAGGCAAAGTTGAAGTAGTTTGGCCTAGCTCGCCTGCCGTTACGGGTGAGCGTCACGCAAAGGATTATAGGTGTGCGCTCCATGTGAACTCAGACCGGGATCCGAAAAGACGAGTGAGGAGCTGCGTGGGTCTCCGACGGGATCTCCTTGGGGTTTGTGAGTAGTGCGCCCGTTGTTGGTCCCTTTCAGGGCTGCTCTCGAGCGACCTCAGCCTAGGAACTTTCCCCGAAAGTTTGTGAAGCGGCAGGATGGTTCCTGAACCAGCTAGCTTGGAGCTCCCAGGCCAGAGGAGGAGTGGACTGGAGGGATGAGAGGAATTTATCAGCGCATCCGTGACGTTTTATGTTTTTCCCGTTAGAATGTAAAGGGTTTTGAAGTACAGCAGCCCAGTTGAGAATATGAAGATTAACAAAAGAGAATGGAACCAGAGTATAAAAAACAAATGAGACCAGCTGAGATTGGAGAATCTTATTTTGTTTTTCTCTCTCTCTGTTGCATATACAGTTGGTCACACCAGGCCACATGTCCATGCCCTTGTGTGCTCATATGTTTGGGAGGGTGCTTGCTTATGGGTGCCAAAGGAGGCGGCTGCCTTAATTGCTCTCCACCTTATTTTTTGAGATAGGAGCTCTCATTGGAACCTGAAGCTCCTCAAATAAGCTAAGTTGGATGACCTCCTCCTGCCTCTGCCCACCCCAGCCACCAGCTGTAGGATTATAGGCATGCAGGGTTTTTAATGTGTGCATTTTTTGTTTGTTTGGTTGGTTAGTTATTGTTTTTTTGCGGGGGAGGGGTGGGTTCTTGATTTTTCCAGGCAGGGTTTCTTTGTGTAGCCCCCTGCCTGTCCTGTAACTCACTCTGTAGACCAGGCTGGCCTCGAACTGAGATCCCCCTGCTGCCTCTGCCTCCCAAGTGCTGGGATTAAAGGCGTGGGCCACCACTGTCCAGCTTTTTTCTTTTTTCTAGAGGATCAAATCCGTGTCACACTTAAGCAAGAAGCACTTCGTTGACTAGGCCTTCTCCCAAATGTCAGGCTTTGGTTTCTTGAAACAGTCTCACTGTGTAGCCCAGGCTGACCACCGGTTCCCTCTGTAACTATATAAGGTCTAGCCTCAAACTGATAATCATGTCTCTGCCTTCAGTACCCTGGCTTTACATGTATGTGACTCCGTGCCCTACTAATCTTTTAATTGATGACAAATACAGCCTAGAAATACAGAAATAATGAAGGCAATCAGCTACTAAACATTACCCTAGGATTCTGTTTGCTTTGTCTTAAATTCATTTCAAGTAAGCTGTAATGTAAGGATTATATTTTACTATGTTTTTCTTTTTTTTATGTTTGACCCAGAATAGGTTGGGTAGCTGAAATTAAGTTTAAGCTGTCTTAATTTGGGGAGAGAGAGAGAGAGAACACGGTGAACAAATGTAGTTTTTTTCTTATATTTTAATGGTGTTAACCATTTATCATTGTAATATTTATTTTATTTTCCAGTGTTTGGTTTTTCTGGATATTTCTTCAGTAAGACCGTAAAAATGTCATCCAAACAAGAAATAATGAATGACCAGCGGTTTAGGCGGGTTTCAAAGGATCCCAGATTTTGGGAAATGCCAGAGAAGGAACGAAAAGTCAAAATTGACAAGAGATTTCGAGCCATGTTTCATGACAAAAAGTTTAAATTGAACTATGCTGTTGACAAAAGAGGGCGCCCTATCACCCACAGCACAACGGAAGACCTGAAACGCTTCTATGACCTGTCAGACTCTGATTCTGATCTCTCTGATGAAGAAAGCAAAGTGCTGGACCAAAAGAAAGTAAAGCAGAAAAAGAAACAGACGGAAAAGGAAGTGAAGTCAAAAATGCTGATTGAGGAGAAAAAGAAAGAAACCAAAAAAGTTGATCAGAAGGATCCTATAAACAAAAATAATTTAGATAATTCTGAAAGAATTCAAAAAATGAAAAACGTGTGTAAATCTCAAAGGGTAAATTTAGAAATAAGTCCCAAAAAGGATAGTGAAGAATTTCCACAAGATACAAAAAAGAAAAGGAACATCACCGACCACAGTACAAATTCTTTGCCCAAAGGAAAACCAAGGACCAAAGATTCCAGTACCCCTGAAATCGTGAAATCTCCAACAATTACTTGTTCTAAGGCCAAAAGAGAAAAGCAATCAGGTTGGTTTGGAGTACTGATTCTTCTGTATTACACTCTTTAAAAAACATAAACAATAATTATTTTGTAGTATGATGAGAACAGACGAGTGTTTTATTTTAAAATATATAACCATGAAAGAAACAATATGCAATGATTTCTTCTTGTTTTGATACCAGAAGACAAGCAGGAAAGCTTGGGTAAGTGATGCTGGTTCTAGTGAACATTGCTGAGAGCTCCTATATGTTGTTACATAGGAAGAAGGTAAGTAGAATTGGGTACTCTTCATTTAGTTCATTCAGCTACGTGACAACTACTGTAAGGCATGGTCCCCTCCTTAGGGTTATCGCGAGTCTATTTCATTTAGAAAACGGCATATCCTGTGACCATACAGACACAGTGCTCTGGGGTTCATAGTTTGGTGAGAGGATGACAATTTTGACTGAAGCAGCGTGTTGATTTCCCTTGAGCAAGCGCAGCATCTGCAGAGTGTATGACTTGAATGGAGATTAGATTTGGTCTTAGCTCTTCTTTCCCTCTTGTAGATGCTTTTAGGCAGATAACAGCCTGCTTAACTGTGTATGATGACCCTGGTCTACTGGCACCATCCACTACAAATACATTGTAATAGTATTTCCTAATAGTGGTATTAAAAAGGAAAAATAAAGAGATGAAATAATTTTATTTATTTATATCCAGTAAATCAAAATTTCATTTCTATGTAATTAATGATAACAAAGTTGTACTTTTATAGTCTTGTTTAGTATTAATCTCAAATTGAAAGAGTCATATTTCAAATACTAAATTGTCTCTTTTGACTGTTACCTTCCACATTGGACAGCATAGAGCAAAAGTAGAAATGTCAAACCTGTAATACAAAATATTGTAGCAGCAAGGGCCATAAGTGAGATTAAAAAATGTCAAAAGTGACTAATCAAAATATAATCAAAGAAAAAATTCATAAGAGATGCATTATTTGTTTATTTTTTGTATTGGGTTTTGGGGGTGGTAGCAGTTGGGATTAAGTTTGAGGACCAAAGAAGTTGTTGAGCAAATTTGGATTGGATGTATGTAGATCAGTGGTCCTATTCTGTTAGACAGTAAAATCTTAAAGACTTTAGTAGTTTTCAGCCAAACAGTATCTGCAAAATCGTACTTTAAATACCTCCCTGTATTCTGCAAAATCTTCTTACTTTAAATAACTTCCTGTGTCCTGGCATGCTGATAATGCCTGTAATCCTGACAATTGTTAAGATGAGTCACAAGGATCAGTTCTAGGCCATCCTCAGCTTTATAGTGGTTTTGAGGCTAGTGTGGACTAAATAAGACCCTGTTTTAAATTAAAAACAGGCAAGATGGCTCAGCAGGTAAAGGTGCTTGCTGCTCAAGCCCTGCAACCTGGTCTTCAGTATCCATGTAAAGGAGGAAGTAGAGAACTAACTGCACAAAATTGTGCTGGCCTCCACATATGACATATGTCCCTCCTCCCCCCCCATGCATAAGCATATCATGCACAGATATGCAAACAAAAATAGTTTTTGAAGTTGTTCTGTATGTATGTATATGTACTATGGAGGTCAAAGAAGAGGGCATTGGATCCCTTGGAATTGGAGTTACAGATGGCTGTGAACCACCATGTGGGTGTTGGGAACCAAACCAGATTTTCTACATGGTCATAACCACTGAACCATCTCTCTAACTCCCTCAATCTAGTGCATTAACTATAAATGATTCGTTGATTAGTAATTAAGGACTTGAGAGCATATAAACTTTCTCTTTGCTTTCTTTTAGTTCAATGTAGGCAATAAATATTGGATTAATGAATCAATATTATAAAAACATAGAATTAAGAACAAATTTCACTTTTTACCTTAAGTTTTAAAATTTACTTTTCATTCTCCAAACTTAAAGCCTTTTGAGTAAGCAGAAACAGAAATACCAGCTTAAAAGCAGTACATAAGATACTCACACATGCAGAGGTGATTGTATTCAGAAGTAAAGTACGAACTCCTTCAGAGGTGTGAAAGAAAAATGAGATCCTATTTTAAACAAAATATCTTGGTATGTGGTTAGCTAACACTTATAAAATGTTAGCAGAAAATTTTTAGTTACCATTGCTGTTTGGTAATTTCATTCATAATGCAAGTTTTGTCAGTTATGTATGAATGAGTTATAAATTTAATCACCAGCTCACACTTTACTTAGCATATTTCTTAGAGTAAACAGCTCTATTGATGTTTTCTGCTATGTGACTCAAAGGTGCTTTGTTTCATTTCAAGGATCAAACCTAGTGCTTTGGGCATGCTAGGCAAGCACGCTGCTGTTAACATTGAAGACTCTTTGAATTCAAATATCCAGAACTCAACTAAAATATGTTCCTTTTGTTTTGTAGGAGTTATACTGGATCTAATATCAATTATTTGGATTTAACTTAATTCAGTATACACGTCTCCTTTCTCCCTCCCCCAATATGCTGTAGTGCTTCCAGTCGTTCTGGCAAGAGACAAAGATGCCCTGGAAGAAGATTCAGACAGTGCTAGTGAAATAGGAAGTGATGAGGACTCTGAAGATGAAGTCACAAGTGATGATAGAACTTCAGCTGATGATGATGAAGAGGAGGAAGAAGAGGAGGAGGAGGAAGACAGTGAGGAGGAGGATGAAAGTGACAGTGGTCCTGATCTGGCAAGGGGTAAAGGAAATATAGAAACTAGTTCTGAAGATGAAGACGATTTTGCAGATCTATTTCCAGAAGAACCTGGTTTTGAACATGCTTGGAGAGAATTAGATAAAGATGCTCCTCGGGCTGATGAGGTAACATTTTCAGTAAATTATTTATGAATAACAGGGCAGTTAGCTTTTATGGGTTATTGGTTGATGTTATTTAATTAAGTAGGAAGGAACTGGACATCTATCTAATTCAGTGATGGAATTCTTGACCATTTCTAGGCTGAATAAAGAAGAGCATGGTGGCGCTCACCTGTAGTAGCATCACTTAGGAAGCAGGAAAATTGTTGTAAACTTAAGAGTAGCCTGGAATGCATAGTGAGTTCTAAGCTAACTTGGATTATAAGCTGGTCAGTAAAACCCTATCTCTTTTCAGAAAAGAAAACTAAACAAAAGAAAGCATTAAGTGATAAAAGTTTTACTGGTAAAATGTAGGACTTGTTTGTTGTTGATTGAACCCAGGGTCTCCTGTCTGCCAGGTAGGATACTACCAGTGAATCACATCTCTAGACCCTGGTGGTATCAATGATGATTTAAGATTTTGTTTTAAGGACTGGAGATGAACTCAGTTTTACAGTGCTTACCTAGCATGTGCAAGGCTCTAAGTTCAGTCCCAACATTAGAAAGAGTAAACACCTTGAAATGGAGCTAGTGTATATAGATTAGATGCATGTCCAAGCACATGAAATGGGAAAGTTCTTTTCCATCCTTTTATCTTTTGTTTTTGTTGCTTAAAGATAGAATGAAAAGCCGGGCGGTGGTGGCGCACGCCTTTAATCCCAACACTTGGGAGGCAGAGGCAGGAGGATCTTTGTGAGTTCGAGACCAGCCTGGTCTACAAGAGCTAGTTCCAGGACAGGCTCCAAAACCACAGAGAAACCCTGTCTCGAAAAACCAAAAAAAAAAAAAAAAAAAAGATAGAATGAAAAGTAATATACTTTGCTGTGGTCTTTTCGTACATTTATGCCAGTATACTTTGTTCCTGCCCATCTTCCTTCCATCCTGCCCTCTGCATCCTTCCTGCCCTGCTCTTGCTCATTGCCCATCCCTTTCCTCACCCCAAATAGTTCCCTCTTCTGTTTTTATATACCATGTATTCCTTCATTCTCTCTTCTCCAGCTTCCATCTCTCCCTCTACTATTATGGACCCTTTGTAATTTCTTGATGTATATACACACAAATTTAAATCTGGATTTAGCAGAGTGGGGAGATGGTTCCATCCATAAAGTGCTTGCTATACAAACATAAGGACTTGAGTTTCAGTGAAACAAAAGTAGTAGGATCCTAAAGCTCATTGCCAACCAATCTAACCAACCAGTAAGCTCCAGATTTGGTGAGAGACCAGGTGTAGTGGCACACAATTTAATCCCAGCACTTGGGAGGCAGAGGCAGGTGAATCTCTATGAGTTTAAGGCCAGCCTGGTCTACATAGTTTCAGGGCAGCCAGAGATACATAGTGAAACCTGTCTTTAAAAATACTGCTGCTACTACTACTACCACCACCATTACACTAACACTACCAATACACTACACTAACACGACCAACACACTAACACTACACTACACTAACATTACACTAACATTACCCTAACACTACAATACCACTACAAATACACTACCACTACACTAGCACTACCAATACACTGCCAACACACTACCACTACACTACACTAACATTACACTAACACTACAATACCACTACCAATACACTACCACTAAACTAACACTACCACTACACTAACGTTACAGTAACACTACACTATACTGCCACTACACTAACACTACCACTACACTACACTAACATTACACTAACACTACAATACCACTACACTACACTACCGCCACCAATACACTACACTAACACTACCAACACACTAACACTACACTACCAATAATAACAGTAATATAATAAAAACACGTAGAGTGATTGAAGAAGACACAATAGTGTCGACCTCTGACTTCTGCACGTAAGTGTGCAAACACATATAGCAAAAATTTTAAAACCCAGCAAAAAAGAAAACGAAGTATTTGTTTTCTGAGACTGGTATATCTCATTTAACAGTTTTTAATATCATTCCTTTTTCTACAAAGGTCATAATTTCCTTTTTTTTCCTTTTTTATTTCATTTGTGTTGTATGTGTGGGTATATAGACCTTCTTGCTCAATTATTCTCTACCTTCTTTGGTTGGTTTGGTTTGGTTCTAGGTGGATTTTTTTTGTTGTTGTTGTTTATTATTTTTTGTTTTTGAGACCAAGGTTAACATCCTTGTCTATCCTGGAACTCATTCTGAGAACCAAGCTAGCCTTTAATTCATAGAGATTCCTGCCTCTATCTCCCAAGTACTGGATTAAAGGCTATGCGCCACCCTTTCCAGCTCCACCTTATTTCTAAGTCAGAGTCTGTCACTGGAGCCAAAGCTCACTGATCAAGCTGAACTGGCTGGTCAGCGAGCCTGAGGGATTCTCCTGCATGCATGTACCCTCACACCCTCCAAGTCTGGAAGAACATTGTAAGAGATAAGGTGGAAGGTCTAAGAATTTCCAGGTAGAGTCTTTTAAAATTTTAAGTGTGTGATCGTGTTGAAAATGGGGTTGTTTGATCTCTTCCTTTCCTGTATGTATCCCTTAAGTCAGTGGTTTTCAACTTTCCTAGTACTGCGACACTTTAATAAGTTCCTCATGTTGTGATGACCCCCCAACCGTAAAGTTATTTTCATTGCAACTTCATAACTATAGTTTTGCTACTATTATGAATCATAATATAAATATTTTTAGAAATAGAGAGTTGCCAAAGGGGTAGTGACTCACAGGTTGGGAACCTCTGGCTTAAGTACTGTTTTGAATCAGAGTAGAGAAACTGGACACTGTTATCTCCTTCCTGATTTTAGAGGAAATGCTCTTTATTTTTCCCTATTTAGTATAATGCTAGGTATATATTTGTCTTATATAGACTTTATTATGTTGAGAAATGTTCCTCCTATTCCTAGTTTGTTTAGAAATTTTATCTTGAATTTGTGTTGATATTTATCAAAGGCCTTTTAGGACAGAACCTTTCTACAAATACTTCGCTGGCCTTGAGCTTTCAGTGGTCCTTCTGCCTCTCTGGAATGCTGGGGTTTAAAGTATGTGTCATTGTGCTCAACAAGAATTTCTACACAAGTAATTTAAAGTACACAAAAGCTTTATGCTTGTTTGTGCTAGCAGTTTGTATTTATGTTCTTATTGCACCAGAAGTACATGCTTTGTGGTAACCCATTTCCTTACTCCCTATCTTTAACACCGTTTTGGTTAAAACATCAGTTTGTGATCACATCCTGGTTCAAGAACTCTAAAAGTCGGGGGCTGGAGAGATGGCTCAGTGGTTAAGAGCACCGCCTGCCCTTCCAAAGGTCCTGAGTTCAATTCCCAGCAACCACATGGTGACTCATAACCATCTGTAATGAGATCTGGTGCCCTCTTCTGGCCTGCAGGCAGAGCACTGAGAATACTGTATACATAATAAATAAATAGATCTAAAAAAAAAAAAAGAACTCTAAAAATCAATTTATAGATAATGCTTATCTCTTGTGGTTCTACTATTGTTTGCCTCACATTAAGCTCTCTCAGCATGTTAAATCAGTTAAATAACAGGTGCTGAGAAAGACTATACTACATTGTTTATCTTTCTGATTTCAAGCATTGAAAATGATACAGATCCCAGCCCTTGGGAGGCAGAAGCAGGTGGATCTCTGTGAGTTAAAGGCCACCCTAGACTGTATAGTGAATTCCAGGACAGCCCTGGACTACTTAGTGAGACTGTGTCACAAAAAAGTCCAGATTCTATAATAATTAATAATACTTTAATGTTCTCAGATTACACGCCGACTAGCAGTTTGCAACATGGACTGGGATAGATTAAAGGCAAAAGATTTGCTGGCTCTGTTCAATTCTTTTAAGCCCAAAGGAGGAGTTGTATTTTCTGTAAAGGTGAGAATTGATTTCATTTAAAGTAAATATTTTTAGGTGTTTTAACTTAAATCTGACTTTGTTTCTAATTAAACTGACTTAATTTTCCTCTTCAAAAAAATATTTTATTAATCTGGAAATTGTCATACATTTAAGTATAAAACTGATGTAACAGGTATTTAAAGGGGGGAAGCAAATTACTATTTTTTGCTTTATATTTTAGTTTTGTGTGTATGCACAGATGTGTGATGGGAGTTAGAGGATCCCTTTCAAAAGTAGGTTATTTCCATTCGACATGGGTTCTAGGGACAGAGTGCAGGTGTTTATTATGCTTTGTTTTTATCCCCATTTATTATATTCTGGCTAAAATTACTAAAGAAAATTCTTCAATATCCTTTATCTTTATGTAGTTAGAAATGAGTTTTCTTTTTTGCAGGGAGTTTGAAGTGAGTTGTTTTTATTGAGCTGAATCATGATTCTTGATGCCTTAGCCTTGACAGCTCTTCATATTATATATAAAAGAATGTATGAATTATATCAGCCCTATTTTTTTGTGTTCAGATATATCCTTCGGAGTTTGGAAAGGAGAGGATGAAAGAAGAGCAAATTCAAGGACCAGTAGAGTTATTGAGTATTCCTGAGGATGCCCCCGAAAAAGACTGGTACTGCGTCACTCCAGAATATAAAACTAACTCTAGTAAAGTCGTGTACTTCACTCAGACTAACACTTAGGATTCAGACAACTTGATGACTGATTATAGTTGACGGCACATTATGCCAGCATTTTGTGTGTATGCTTGGAAATGATGATTGCCGTATTTGAGAAAAAAGTTCATAATTATCTTCATTGCTATGAATTAGTTTTGTTTTTACCTTCATATTATATTTTTTGAGTGTTAAATAGAAAAATAAAGGAATAAAAAATGGTTTTATCGGATCTCTGTGAGTTCGAGACCAGCCTGGTCTACAGAGCTAGTTCCAGGACAGGCTCCAAAGCCACAGCGAAACCCTGTCTCGAAAAACCAAAAAATAAAAAAAATTTTTAAAAAATGGTTTTATGTTATAGAAAACGACTGAAGTAGTTTTAAACCACTAGGTGGAGCTACATGTGCACTTAATAAAAATGTTGGTTACCTGGATGGTAACAAAAGTGGCAGAGGAAGACCTTCAAGGAACAGAGTATAGTTAAGTAAAATTAAGCTTATAAAGTTCAGGTCTTGGCCAGCGAGATAGCTCAATGGGTAAAAGTACTTGTCGTCTAGTCTGACAACCTAAGGACCTGAATTCAACCCCCAGAATCCACCCACATGGTAGAAAGAGAACACTAACTCTTGAAAAAGTTGTTTTCTGACCTTTTAATGGAGAAGTTTCTGTGTTTTTGTATACATATGTTCAACTTATTTTTCCCCATTAGGGCCTCTAGAGAGAAGCTGAGAGACTATCAGTTCAAACGATTGAAATATTATTATGCAGTAGTGGATTGTGATTCTCCTGAAACAGCAAGTAAGATTTATGAAGATTGTGATGGCCTGGAATTTGAAAGCAGTTGTTCTTTTATAGACCTAAGGTAACTCAATTCATGTCTTAACAGATGAATCTTACAATATAGCAAGATCATATGTAGTAAAATATTTGAATGAGTAGTACTTTCTTACATTCTAGAAAATGTACAAGAAAAAGCTAATATAATGAAGGAAAAGTAATTTATGAACCATTTCATTATTTATGTCCTTGAAATAATAATTCCTTCAAAAATATTTTTAAGATCTATTTATTTTTACTTCATGTGCTGAGATCCCCTGAAATTGAAGTTGCAGATGGTTATGAGCCACCAGGTAGGAGGTGCCAGGATTCAAACCTAGATCCTCTGCATGAACCAACAGGTGCTCGTACCTGCTAAGCCGTGTCTCTACCACCTCTCCCAGTAGTTCTTGATACATTATATAGCAGTGCATTTTATATATGTGTGAGAAGAATCTCCTGTGTAAATTATAAAAGCCTGATTATAATAATCATAGATTATTTACTTTTCATCCCACATTCCCTAGCTTGATGCCTAAAATTAGTCATCTTGACTGATTTACATGTAAAGATTAATTACTTGTGAAATGAAGGCTTTGACTGAGATTATTCTTAATCAGCCTTAAACTTTCTTTATTTTTAGTGAATTTTCCTGATTATGGTACTCCATATTGAGACTACTTACCTAGTAGTAATTCTATTTGATCTTTGAACTCTAAAATGAGTGAATGACTGTGTTATTGCATCTGGGTCTTTGGAAGATAGCTTATATTAACTAGTTCTTAATGCAGTCTCTCTATATATAAAATTCTCTCAAATATAATGATATTTTAGATATATAGTTTACAAATTTCAGAGATATGCCAAGGTTGTTTCTAACCTTTTAGAAATTTTTATATTTGTGCTGTATGGAAACTATTATGTAGTGTATAAACTATATAAACTATCACTAATGAATAGAAAATCTATAACTCTAATAATCACTACAGTTTTTTTAGATAGATTTTACTTTTTTTTAGGTTTATACCAGATGATATTACTTTTGATGATGAGCCCAAGGATGTGGCCTCAGAAGTTGATCTAACAGCATATAAACCAAAATATTTCACATCCGCTGCAATGGGAACATCAACGGTATTTCTTAACTCTTAAAAGTGTATAGATGGGCCAAACATGGTAGCACATGGCTGTAATCCCAGCACTTGGGAAGTTGGACAAGGGTACCAGGAGCTCAAGAGTCAGCCTGCGATACATGAAACCCTGTATAAAAACAAAATTAAATGTGTAGCTAGACTCTTGTTATTTTCCCTCTATTTATCCATATACTTTAAACTAAATTCTTAAGACCTGAAAATGTATTTCAGTAGTAGAGAATTTGTCTAGCACATTTGGAAGCCCTGCGTTTTATCTTATATTCTTTTAATAGGCTTTGTGTCAGTTATTAAATTCCTAGGGAATAGGAAGGACATAACTTTACCACAAATGAGAGCTACACAGAATTATTGACCATTTGAAATAGGAGTACATTTTTCTGCAGATGTGATTTTAAAAGTTTTGTCATCAAAGGAAATAGACTAATTCAGTACTACTAGTTTTCATATTACTAAGAAGTAGATTGCTGGCCGGTTGGTGGTGGCGCACACCTTTAATCCCAGACGATTGTACTCTTCCAAGAAAGCTGGTGTCATATCTGCTTGCTCCTTGCTGTGGAAGGGTATTCTGGTATTTGATTAGTTACAAATTATAGTAAAACCCCAGAGTTAACAATGTGCTTTAGTATTAGTTTACCTTTGTGCTTTTGTTTGTTGTTTTATTTTCACTCTTTGGTTCAAGGTGGAGATCACTTGGGATGAGACTGATCATGAAAGAATCACAACACTTAACAGAAAGTTTAAAAAGGAGGAGCTTTTGGACATGGACTTCCAGGCCTACTTAGCTTCCTCTAGTGAGGATGAAGAAGAAGAGGAAGAAGCACCACAAGGTACTTGCTAATTCTTTTACGGGGTGATTAATGGAACTATGTCTTTGGCAAAACTTAAAAAGATCTCCAAACTGTATAGCATACTTATATGCATAGAATTATAAGCATGTATATGCATAGATACATGTTTGAAGGATCAGCAAGATTCTCGTTGGATGAAAGCACTTGTGCACACCTAATGACCTGACTGTGATCCCCAGAACCTATGATAGAGGAGAGCTGGCCACCACATGCATGCTTTGGTATAGTTATGTCCACCTACTTACATGTGCATACACATATACAGTAATAGTTAGAATAAATAAAAATGTTTTTAAATCCTAAATACTTTGCCAGGCTAATTTTCTATAGCCACAAAATTTATTTAAGCTCTAACATAATAAAAGTGCCTAACCTGTTAGACTTATAAATATATAAAATGCTGTTATGTTTCTCCAACACCTTATTTAGTTTTGAAATGATCTCTCTGTGTAGACTAGGCTCACATTGAAGTCACAGATTACAAAGATCCTCCTACCTCTGCTTCCTAAGGTCTGTGATTCATTTATAGGCATAGCCTATCACATTCAGTTTTTGCAGTGCTGGGAACTGAGCTCGGGTTGTTGTAAATGCTAGGCAAGGCCTCTGCTGACTGAGATCCATTCCCAACCCCACTCTAATGATCCTAAATAACTTTTGTGCTTTTTTATGTAACACTATCTTATACTGCTCTTATTTTACATTTCCCTGGCTTCCATTGCTCTTTTTTTTTTTCTAAATCTCTTTCCTTCAGCTTTAAGTATTCATTAAGAAATACCTTTACTAGGGCTGGAGAGATGGCTCAGAGGTTAAGAGCATTGCCTGTTCTTCCAAAGGTCCTGAGTTCAATTCCCAGCAACCACATGGTGGCTCACAACCATCTGTAATGGGGTCTGGTGCCCTCTTCTGGCCTGTAGACATACACACAGAAATAATATTGTATACATAATAAATAAATATTTAAAAAAAAAAAAAGAAATACCTTTACTAAGAACTAGCTACTGTCAAAACTCTCTTGATGTTTGTTTTGTCTGAAAATGCCAGAAAATTTTGCTTTTGCTTGCAAAGGATTCTAAAATTGAATTCGCAAAGGCTTCTCTGAACCCACACTGATAATAACACCCCTCTGACTTCTGATTTGATTGGTGTTTATGAAGGTTGTCTGGAGATTTTCTTTATTCTAAGAGTAGATTTATATGGGTGTATGTGTGGGTGGGTGGGTGGATGGATGGATGTTGAATTTGGGGTTTTTTTGGGTCCATTCAATTCACAGTGATATCTTTTTTTTCAGTATTGATGTTCTCAGTCATTTGATTTTTCTCCTGCCCTTCTAGAACTCTATTTAAATATGCATTAAATCTTTCCATTGTATCTTCTCTCTTTAGATGTTTTTGATTTGGGGCTTTATGTGTACTAGGCAAGCACTCTACTACTGAGATAAATCCCTAAGACATTTCTGTTCTCTTACATTTTCCCCGGTACTTCATTTAGAGTGTGTGTGTGTGTGTGTGTGTGTGTGTGTGTGTGTATTGAGAGTGTCATTTCAGCAGTATACCTACCCACTTAATTCTTTTTTTTAAAAAAAAAAAAACTTTTTTTATTTATTTACTTAACTTTATTATGTTTGTTGGTGTGAAGGTGTCAGATCTCATGGAACTGCATTTTCAGACAGTTGTTAGCTGCCATGTGGGTGCTGGGAATCGAACCCGGGTCCTCTGGAAGAGCAGTCAGTGCTCTTAACCGCTGAGCCATCTCTCCAGCCCCCCCACTTAATTCTTTATCCTGGTTATTATCTATTTTACTTCTAGAATTCCTCTGTGCCTATTTGTCAAGACAACAATGCACTTTTTGGTAGTTCAGTCTTTTAAGTTTGATATTTGTCTGGTACTCCCTCTGGACCTCTGCTTAATTCCAGAGGATTAGTTTAACTTCCTCCTCCTGTGAATTTTCACTTGTGTCCTTTGTATTCTTAATAGTCTTCCATTGAGTTCACAGCTATAGATCAGTCAATGGGAAGTTCTCAGAAATAATGTAGATCTTAAAACACTTGGATAATCCTTATGATAGTCCATTCTCTATTTTTGATTTTGACATAGTAATTCTTCATTAACTTTTCAATTCTTTCAAGCTTCAATTTCATTTTGTAATCCCTTTGAAATTTTTAGAAAGATTTTAAAAATACTTATCTAGCTGGGTGGTGGTGGCACACGCCTTTCATCCAGTACTAGGGAGGCAGAGACAAGGCTGGTGGATCTCTGTGAGTTCGAGGCCAGCCTGGTCTACAAAGCAAGTTCCAGGACACCCAGAGCTGTTACAGGGAAACCCTGTCTTGAAAAACCAAGAGAGACAGAGACAGAGAAAGACTGATAGTATCTGCTGTTACATCTTTGCTATTCTCATCTAATAGAATTACTAAACAGTAAAAATTATGAGTTTGGTGCTGACAGAAAATGAAAAACCAGAAATGTTAAACGTAAGTATAAATATTTTAAATCAACAAGAAAGAATATAATTTATAGTTTAACATTTTTCTTTTTTGTTATTTTTGTTTGTTTTTTTTTTGTTTGTTTGTTTTTTGAGATGGGGTTTCACTGTGCAGCTCTGGCTATCCTGGAACTCGTCTTGTAGACCAGGTTGGCCTTAAACTGACAGATCTGCCTGCCTCTGCCTTCCATTGCTGGCTTAAAGATGTGCACCACCACCGCCTAGCAGTTTAACATTTTCCTTTTACATAGTGTATTATTTCTATAAAGGCATATGAAAGAATAGATACTTTTCTAGTTTAAACATAGGGTTATTAAGCCTTGACTGTCTTAGATTCTGAATGATCTGTTGTTTGTTTTCATGTCACTGAAAGTAGTTCTTTATCCTTAGAAGTTTGCCATAAAATACTGTTTTACAGTATTAATGTAAGGTAAAGAAAATTGTGTTTAATAGCTTCTGTTAATAAAATTATGTAATTCTTTAAAAATTCTTAGCTTTTGAAAATGAATAGTTTTCAGGCTAGTGAGATGGTTCAATGGCTCCTGAGTGTGATCCCTGGAACCCACCCACATAGCAGAAGGAGAGGACAACTCCTAAAAGTTCTCTTGGTACATACATACACACAATAAATAAATGTAATGAAAGCTTAATAAAGAGCTTACATAATTTGCTGTGGTACTTATTGGATATTACATTTTAGGGTCTTGGTGACTGGTGCTTCTTAATCTTTTTCATGAATCTGAATGTTATATTTCTTAATGTCTATAGCATACCCTTCTCACAGACCTTTATAACCTTTCCGCCATAAATAAGAAGGATGAAGTCTCTTCGTCTCCCATAGGCATGGAAAAGGTACATTTATTTGCCTATGTGGACATTTTGTGCTTTTCTGATAAGCATTACTTTTCCAATATATTTAATATCTTGGACTCTGTTGGAGATATAACTCAATGGCAGAGTGCTAAGCTTCATAAAAACCAGTGTTCAACCGTCAGTATTGTAAAATAGGAAATAAGCCAAACTTAGACCCTGCTGGTTTCAGAACTTGACTTAAGCTCAGTGAAAACAAAGTCAAGTTTTCTTAGCACCTGGTTCCTTCCTTCTGTAGCTGTGAAACAAGAATTATAATGATACCTGGTTCATAGACTGAAATGATGTCTATAAAGTATTTAGCATAGTATTTTATATCAGCTATTTTAGTTTTAACCCTTAAAACTAGACATTAATATCTTTCACTTTGAAATATACTAATTGTTTTTCCAAAAGCATCCTTTTTCTTCAGTATTTAAATTGATTACAAACCTACTTTAATCTGTAACTTAGTGCCTCTGACTAGTAAATTTGGACACTAAATGTTCCTGATAGTTGTCTATAAGAGTAGCTCACTGTTTGAATTTAGTTTTTTTAAATGTTATGTACTGTTAAGGTGCTCATAAAATGTCCTTGAGTTAGGAAAACAGAGCTGCATGAATTACCCACACTCTAGAGCTTCAGAAAGTACAGTTTTAGTACTGGAGAAAATCAATTTAAAGTGAGCATCAGAGACTCACCTCTAAAATTCCAACCTGGAAGGAGCTTGCTTCTAGTTATGTTTTCAGAAGTAAGTTTTTAATAGAATGAAATACATTGCCATTTTGTTAATGTGTTCCTCATGTTTTATCCATTGAATACATGACAAATTTCCATCCACCATTATTATTGTGGCACAAACAGCAAAATATGAGCTTCAGCTGTTGGAGTGAAAATATGAAAGTGTGTTAGGATGATGGAAAGAAAGCCCACAGCCGTTCATTCGCTTAGAAAGAAAAGTAACTTTTAAATGTTTACTTAGTCAACTTTTTGTTTTCCTTTTGAAAATAATCTTTTTGAAGATGTAAAAGCAAGGTGTTAGCACTGCTGCGTGCGTATATCACAGTTTTGGTGACCAGAGGTTACAAAGACAGGAACGTCACTGTTTCACTTCCAAACTTTCCTCCGCTGGTGATGTTTAATGAATTTGATAAGTTTGTGTGTTTTATATTAAAACCCAGATTTCTAATTTATGTTACTGACTTGAAGAATTTGCAATGAAACTGTAGAAAAACAAACTTTATGGTTTGATTTTTCTCTGATGTTTGTTACCCATGAATTTTACCATGACTGTTTCTTCACATTTTAATTTTTATGAAACTAGAATTCAGAAATATTAGTTGTCTTTCCACATGGTGAAAGTAGTTGAATTAGCTCCTAGTGTTTTTGTCTTTATCATTGGTTGTTGAGCAACAGTCTAAGAGTAAATGTGCTTATTCACAGTCAAATGGAAAGGACTTCGTAGTCTCAGGTTTGTGCTCTAAATGACTTCCTTAGCTGCTCTGTGCGGCCTGAGAAGCTCAGCCCATCTGTCGGGCTCAATCCAGCAACACTCAGGCTCCTTCTGCTGAACAGAGCCTTTTTAAAGCCACTGTGCTAAAGGCAAATGACAAAGAGGGGACTGAGATGTCACTCTTAATGCTCTTGCAGTTTACACAGAAGGGAATGTTGTGTAGTACTCTACAATGCTATGACTAACTTCACTGCCTCTGGGTCTTATTGAGTACAAGACTGAAGTCCTTTTCATTTTCACAAGTTGAAGACTGATTTTATGTTCTGTGGTTGCAGGGTTTCTTTGACAACACTTTTTTAGCTGTATCCTGAAGAGGCCAAGAGACCTAAACACTAAAGTTGGAAAATACGTATTTCTCTTTTTTTAAATAAGATTAATTTTGTTTTATTTAGGTGAGGATGGAGTCAGTGTCGAAGATGGGAAAACAAAGAAATATCAGAAGGATGATGAAGAACAAATTGCTAAATATAGAGAGCTCTTGCAAGTTATTAAAGAAAAGGAGAAAAAAGGAAAAGAAAATGATATGGAAATGGAGATCAAGTGGGTTCCAGGTGAGATCTGATTTTAAGTAAAAGTTTTTTAAAAGTTCTGTTTTTCAAAAATGTTTTGGTAAGGAAATGGTATTTAATTCACCTCATAATTAATGTTTTATGTTCTTTTTCCATTTTTATCCTAAATTTTCTCATATTTTGATTATATTCTTTCCCTTCTCCCTACTCTTCCCAAGGTCTCCCTACCCACTCAACATCATGTTCTTTTTCAGAAAAAGGAAAGAAAAAAAATATTTTAAAAAAGATAAAAATCAAAACAAACTAAAAAGAAAATATATAAGATAAAAAAAAAACCCAAAATGACAAAATGCATACACAAACACACACACAAAAGAAAACAAAAAGGCATCTGTTTTATATTGGCCTACTACTTCTGAGCATGGGGCCTACACTAGCATGTGGTTGATATGCCCAGTGTCGTTCCATTACAGAAGGCTGATTTTTCCCTTTCCTAGTAGGTGCCAATTGCAAATCTCTTCGTGGTTAGGGATAGGGCTGTCTCAGTGATGGGATTTTGTCCGACGTGAACTTGTGATTCCTTCTAAAGACTACACCAGTGGTAAAGCTGTAAGTGTCATAGGCCTTTCTTGTTAGAGACACTTGGAATTGTGATCCTTACTCTTTTTTTTTTTTAAGTTTATTTATTTATTATGTATACAGTAGTCTCAGTATTCTGTCTGCATGTATGCCTGCGGGCCAGAAGGGGGCACCAGATCTCATTACAGATGGTTGTGAGCTACCATCTGGTTGCTGGGAACTAAACTCAGGACTCTCTGAAGGGCAGGCAATGCTCTTAACCACTGAGCCATCTCTCCAGCCCCTGTGATCCTTACTCTTGAGAAGGAGGAATGGGGTCCAGAGAAGCATCAGCAAGAGCACTCTATCTCCCCCAGCCAGAGAGTTCCCCTTTCTTCCTGTCTTGGGCCTGAGTGTTCCCATTTTATTCTAGTGTCTGCTCTTTAGCCTTGTCCTTTTCCCTGTCTTTCTTTGATCTCTGTACTTTTCATGTCTTCCACTGGGAAGCGTACACAAGAAGCAGGGACAAGCATATATGACTATTGAATTATTCATTCTTTATTCAGAAACAAAATGTTTCGAATCAGTTGTGCATTCATTTTGTTAGTATCCCTTATCCAAACATTTCATTTTCAAACATCTTAAAACCTGTTCAGTATTTATTTTTGGCTATTTCTTTATTTCCATTTATTGCCAATGTATTCATTATTTGAAATATATTCACAAAATGGTTTTTGCTCATAACTTTTTTAAAAGCCAGCTGTTTTAAATTTTGAGTTGAAGTCCAGGGATATGACTCAGTAATAGCGTAGTTGTCTAGCAAGACCCTGGGTTAAGTCCCTAGTGCCACAGTGGGGTTGTAGGGTAGTTAAAGGATGGGGTGTAACTCAGTGGCTGAGTACTTGTCTAACTTGAATGAGTTCCCAAGTTTGATCTTTAGAACCACAAACCCAAAGAAACTCTCCAAATGCCATACCCAAAACAGCTAGCCTTGGGCTGAAAATAAAAAGGGGAGTGAGTTGAGAGGAGAGCATCAAATGGAAACCTGAGCTTAAACATGAGCTAAAAGATTTGCAGTTTGCCTCCTAGTGTGATGATGGAAAAGAAAGTTTATATGGTAACTACAGATTCTCACAGCTGTTAGGTGCTTAGAATTTTAAAGCTTAATCAACCTTGACTCATCCACTTAACGGGTTGGCTAAGGAAGCTTTGTAAGGTAATAAACTGAATACTGTGTAAATATCATTTGAATCATTTGTGAACTGTATAATTAAAAAGAGAAGCAGGAGCTAGAGAGAGATGGTTCAGCAGTTAAGAGCACTTACGCTTCTTACAGAGGACCTGGGTTTGGTTTTCAACACCCATGTGATGGCTCACAACTTTCTGTAACTCCAGTTCCTGTGGCCTTGACACCCTCTTCTGTCCTCCAGGGGCTTTTGCCTAAATGTGTTGCAAGCACACACACATGCATAAAAATAAATAACTTAATAAATAAAATTTAATGGTAAGTTTAATAAAAAAATAATTTTAAAATGAGAAGCTGCTCAAGTTATCTAAAAGTGTTCCTAGCCCATTTTCTCTATAGCGTTGCTAGTCACTTTCTCGGTTTCCTGGATTATTGAAAGACAATTTTCTTCCTTAATAATATTAAAGTAAAAACTAGGGATGCTTTCTATGCTGGTTATATTACATTTTGTTTCTGTTTCACTTATAGTTTTATATTTTTCTAGTGTTTATAATAAGACCTAGGTTTGGGTTTTTTAAGATTTTTAATTTTTTTTTTTATTTCTTGAGATTATAATACAGTTACATAACTTTCCTCATCCCTTCCTCCTTCCAAGCCCATATATGCTGCCTTGCTCTCTTTCAAATTCATGTCCTGTTTTCACATCAATTGTTGTTGCATAAATGTGAGTGTGTATGTGTGTGCATAATTTTTAAATACAAAAATACAGTCTGTTCATTCAGTAGAATGTTACTAGTATGTGTATGTTTTCTTCAGGGCTGACCATTTAGTTTTATATAACCAATTTGTGTGCTTTTCCTTGGGGAGAACTATTTCTACTGCTCTTAGCGTTCTTTAATTGCCTGTACTTTCTTTGTGAACTTACGCCTTGTGAGCATTGATGTCATCCTTGTTTAGGTGGTCCTATTGATAAGACTTTCTAGATATAGCTTCTGACATTCCTAGGAGGCATAGTGTCGCAGTAAATCCCAATTCCTCTGGCAGTTAACAGCCTTTCTGTCCCTCTTCCACAATGATCCTTTGCTCCTTAGGCCTGGGAGTTGTACTGTAGATGTATCCTTTGGAACTAGGCTCTGCAACTGCATTTTGATTGGTTGTGGTTTTCTGTGATGGCCTCCATGTGTTGCAACAAGAAATTTCCTTGATGAGAGGTGAGGACTACACTTATTTGTAGGTATAATGACTAATATTCAGAATATAGTTAGGGATTCTGCTGGCTTAGGTTCTCCTAAGATACATGATTCACTAGCCCTATGTAGTTGCCTAGGTTTCTAGTACCAGATATGATTTCCCTCTTGTTGGGTTAGTTTTTTGGATTTTTTAAAAGATTTTTATTTATTTTTATTTTATGTATATTGATGTTTTTGTGATAACCAAAATGAATCATGAAAAAGAAAAGATAGAGTTTCTGATGGTCTGTCCTCAGAGCTAACTATGCTGGTGAGACTGTGAGTGTTGCAGGTTAGAGCAGGGAGAGCACCTGCTGTTGTGGATAGGCCAGGTCAGTCTACATCTTACCCCCTTCCCGGAAGAAGAAAATGTATGTGTGTTGAGGAAGCCAGTTCAGAAAGTGCTATATTGGGTTCCTGGCTTTTAAAGTGTGTTTACCCTCTTTGCCATATTAGACTTTAGTATGGTATGGTTGTTTTGCTTATTTTTAACTCTTGCCTGTAATTAATTGAATACCGTAGTCCTGAATAATATCTCTCATCAACTGAAAATTACTCTGCCATTTTCCTCTTAAAGTCCTAAGTTTTCTTCTTCTCTGATTTCTCTTATAGAAATCATGTTTGGTGTATGTCTGATAACTCTTGGCTTCTGTGCCTTTGGATCTACACGACTTGCTGGGTAATTTCTTTAGTTCTGCTTTTATTTCATTAATTCTCTCTGTAATATATATGTATTTTAACTTAGACACTGACTTGATGTTTATCTCTGGGAGTTGCTTTTTTCTTTTTTCCTATAAACTTGTCTCATCTGTTTGAAAATCTTTTTTTTTTAATTTCCTCTTTTGCTTTTTTAAGTGCTGATTTGTATTTTGTGATCTCAGTTTTCAAATCCATAGTCCGTGGTTCTGTCTTACTGGTTTTTATTTCTACTTTCTTTAGCTCGTAGGGAATTTTAATTAGAATCTTCCTGTCTCGGATCTTTCTCTTCTTACAGGAACTCTGTATCAGAAGGTCTACTTTTAGAGAGTGTTTGTCAGGTGCCTGGAGGCATTTCTAATCCAAGACCTATCAAATTTTTAAGTTGGTGTATTTAGGACCACACAAGTAGTGTGACTTCCAACCACAAGTCCATGGGTTTGTGGGCTGTGGTTACAGAGTCTCTGAGGGGAACTGTATTTTTACTCCCCCTGAACTGTAGGGGGAGGCTCACCATCTACTGGGGGCACATTTAAGGATCCTGGGACCTCCCACTATGATCAGACTCCAAACGTCCCCTGCCTCCTTGGCTAGCAGCCCATAACGACCCCAGATCCATACTAGACCATATTAGCTTAGTTTGTATCCCCAAGGAAAACTTCCTGCTTCTGAACTGGTTTAATATTTCTATTTGAGCTTTTCTTTTTGAGACTTGACTCAGGAATTTTTTTCTTTGTACCTTAGGCATTCATGTAAAAGATTTCATTCATTTCCTACCTGGCCTATAAATGTATAAAAGTAACAATAGTCCATATAATTTCTCATTCTTTGCTGTAAGTTCCCAGACTTGACCAGATGTCAGTCTGCTAATATGAGGATATCTTGGTATTATGTTACTATGCTTACAAACTGCTTGAGAGGCAAAGAAAACATACAGATAAACTTGAGAGAAATACAAGAAACAATAGCTCCCTAATGAGGCCCACATGTCTTGTATTTGAAGTCAGTGTTTTAGGACACTGAACTTTAAGAAGCAGGCATTGAGGACTGCTTGATGTGTAGTAAAATTAATGCCCTTGAAAGTGGAAGCCGTCATTGTTTTAAGGGTGACTGGAAGGGGATTTAGAAGAGTTAGACAAATAACTGAAATTCTAGACAAACATAAAGCATTTATTTACTTTAGGCAATAACAACAAAAAGTAGCACCTATTCAGTGAGTACTTAGGCCACATCTTTCGTGGGTATTTATTAAATGTTTGGGGAGATGCACAATTAGTTATGTGTGCAGAAATTCCCAGTCTGGGCATCTTTCTTAGACTTAGTATTCTCTTAACTCTTGTTTTCACATGGTAAATGTAACAGGATTCTAATAGTGTTGAGTGCAACATTTGTTGACTCTGACTGACTGACAGCTTTAGCTATTTGCTGTTGTTACAGCAACTAGTTTTTATTTTCCTCTCCAATTCCATGTGTTGCTCCCAGTCAGTTGGACGGAACAGACTTGGGTCACTTTTCCTTTCTCTTGCTTCCTTATTCTATAGCCGTTTATAAGATGTGTGCTGTAGGACCCTCACTGGTCACTAATCTGGACCTAGTGTCCCTTTGACACTTGTCATGTGGGTAAATGTATCCTTCCTTGTCCTCATGCCTTCAGGAGTAATCCGCTGTTTTAAAGAGGTGCCTTGATGGCAGTGCTCATCAGGACGTGACTGGTGGTTTTCCTCTATAAAACCTAGGACCCAGAATGGATTCCACATTGGAGTTTTGGTGTTAGTGATGTGGTTGCTAACATTTTTTAAGTGTTTGGAATTGAGTGCTACATAGTCTAATTTTTAACACACACAAGAATTTTAAGAGATTGATATGTTAAGTGTTCATAAATACTCCCAGTAAATCCTAAGCCCTTAATTAGGTAAAAGAAAAAAAAGTGGCAGTTTTGACCTATATGAAAATTCTTAAAACATGCATTTTGTTTTTATAAACAAAGCCTGTAATAGTATCTAGTTGAGTTATTTTAAATCATTCATACTCTGTCCTTTGAAGACTTTTCAAATATTTTGTGTGGATAAGGTCAGAAGGAATGTATATTCTTGTAGATTTTATAGAAATATTTATGAGTTTTTATATGCACAGAAACTGCCAAAATCATTCTGGATAGGTTATGCTTGTTAAATTATTATTGTCATCTTGAATCATCTGCATTCATGGCTCACTTTAGAAGGAACTTTACCCTTAGTTGTGGTATTATTGATATCTTTAATTTATTAGTCCATGAATATATGCATAAAGATTTTTTAAACCAATTTGTACAAAACTAAAAGCAGTAAAATGAAGTTGTTTTTCAGTCACAAAGTGGCTTCTCTTAAATGAGGCTAAACTGGCTCCGAAGAATGTTCTTGTGCATTTGCCAAAAGACTTCTGGGATGGGCATATTTTTAAGAACTCAGAACATAAACAACTGTGATCTGTGGCAAGAGATTTCAGTGACCTCATGATGACAACAAGAACAAAGCATTTTTAAGTATTGTGGTGGTGTTAACTCATTGCAATGTGTTTGTTCTTCTATTTTGGTATATTAGGGAAAACCAGGCAAAGAGAACTACAGACTGACGTGAATTTAAGATACTGTTTCTTTATTGCTAGAAACAGACTAAGTTCCAAAGAAGTATTATTTCCTAAGGATAAATATTGCATGCATGAACCAGTTAGAGACAGAATCCATTTAGACCTTGGAGTTTTGATTCATTTTTTTTTTTGTTGGAAATAATATGTTCTAAACATCAAAGATCAAACACTTGGCAGGAAATAAGAATCCTTCCTTCAAATGGATCAAGACAGACATGTTTATTAAGTATTTACTGTGTGTTTGGGACCATGCTAAAGATTATGGAATGTGAAAGAAAGTGAGTCCACATTGATTTTAGTATACAGAACTGACATATGCCGGTGGGACTTAGAAAGCAGAGCTATAGAATCTAGTACCAAATAAATGACATTTCACTTAGATAATGCAAAAATAATCACATAATCCCTTTTCAGTAATTACCTCTACCCAAGCGTGGTGGCACATGCCTTTTCTTCCCAGCTCTTGAGAGGCAAAGGCAAGTGGATCTTTGTGAGTTCACATCGTGAGTTCTAGACCAAACCTTGTCTCAAAAAACTAAAATGAAAAGATATTAAAGATTTAACTATTATCTAATAATATAATAGTATGTTTTTGAAAGTTGAGATAGACTGATTATATGCTGAACTATATGCATTATATATGTCACTTTATCTTGTTATGTGAAATCAACATTTTTTTTTTCAGAATTTAGTGTATTCTATGTGAGGATCTCACCTTAAATTCCCTAGGTACATTACTGGTTCGTTTGAGTATCTGTATATGACTTTGTATCACTCATATACCTCCTGAAAACTATGTACTAATATGAAATGTTTTTCTCATAAAGAATGGGTTTTAATGATTCATTTTATGTGCTTGTATATTAAGCACTCGGTGGTATGCTTGGTGCCTTCAGAAGACAAGAGGGCTTTGGATCCCTAAAACTGGAGTTACAGGTGGTTTTGTGGTGTAAGGACTTCCTACACCAGTTTTGAGCCACCATGTGGGTGTTGGGAATCAAACGTGGGTCCCCTAAAAGAGCAACCAGTGCTGTTAGCTTCTGAGCTATCTCTCCAACCCCAGATACATTTTTTTTTAATTGACGATTGTATTTCTGTTTTGGTATCTAACAAATCAGAGTTCCTACCATCAGTATTTCATAAAAAAATATAAAAACTTGAGAATACATGTAATTTAATACTTTTCTAGGTCCTAGGAATTTGGAGACTAAATCTTTACCTAACAGCCAGGAAATAGACCTTAGAACTCAGCTGTTTCAACCTGGATTTTCATCCCCCACAGCCTAAAGCACTGTTGTTAGTAGTTCTGTATATTTGTACGTCTACCGAGTATTTTGAAGTTGAAAGCGGGTGATGTACATGTGGAAGGGAGGGTTTGCATACATCTCATCTCTGCCCAGTTTATTTTGTTTGCATCCTGAGATCAAAGGTAAAGTGAGTGAGTAGGCAGAGGAGAGGGTGAAGCCTAAGCTGACAAAGGTCATCACTACGACCAGAGTAAGAAATAAATTTTTGGTTGTGAGCCTAGCCTTTAATGGCTGAGCCATCTCTCCAGCCCAGCCAGAGTAAGAAATATATAACTACTTTTCTGTCTTCTTTGAAGATGATGGTATTTATTTATTCATCTATCTTTGTTAGAAATTTTGAAGGACTTATTTGGATATGGAACTTTAAATATTTATGTGACACAAAATCCATCTTTTAAAAATAGCAAATGGCTTGGCGTGGTGGCACACACTTATAATCCAGTCTATCAGGAGGCAGGGCCAAGAGGATCACCACAAGTTCAAGGCCTGTCTGGCGTACGTAGTTAGTTGGGGACCAGCCCAGTCTGCGAGGTCTGCATAGTGCGACCCTGTCTCCATACAAACAAAATAAAATGTGACAGTGGATGGAATGGTCAAAGTGGTCCTCTGAGAAAGGAGGTGACTGGTCCAATTCATCCTCCCAAACACGTTCAGAATGCTGTAAGTGCAAAAACAGTCCTGGAAATGGTTCTGGCTTACTGGTAAATACATTAAAAATGTATTTTAATTTAATTTTAATGGCTGAAGAATACATGAGTCTAGAGTAGTCTAGGAACAAAAGCTTTAGAGATGAACCATTAGAACAAACTGCAGCTGTATAGAATAGAGTGAAGCTGGTGGCCTCTGCATCTCAACTCCATAGCCTTGGAGAGTGCCTGAGCGGTGACTCAAGGATTTGTTCTCAGAGACAGGAAAAACTAAATATGATTTTGCTTAATTAGCTATTAGTTGTAGTTTGAGTTTTTACTCTAAAATTTCTCTTCACTCAGTCTTCACCAAAAAGCCGAGAATCAGCAATTATCCTTGGAAGCTCAAAGCAAATAGAGAGAGAGGAGGGTTAGACCTAAGTAAATATTTGGGTTTCTTATCCCTTTATTTTTTAAGTTTTGTTTTTTTCGAGACAATATTTCTATTGTATAGCCCGATTGAACTTAAACTTAACCTTGAAGTACTAGGCTTGTAGGTAAATCAGCATGTCTGACTAATAATAGGTTTTTCATTAATGTCCATATGATCATATATTGTTGATCTTTTTTATTTCTTTTGGCCAGTTAGATCTCTCGCTCGCTCTCTCTCTCTCTCTCTCTCTCTCTCTCTCTGGAAATAGGATTTATTTTGTGGTCTTGATTGTTAGATATACCTACGTACATAAACTGTGTTTGTTCTCTTGCTTTTGTAACCCTTTAACAGAGCAAAGATATACTATTTTAAGCTAAACTATTTTTCCATTTTTAGGCCTTAAGGAGAGTGCAGAAGAAATGGTCAAAAACAAGTTGGAGGGAAAGGACAAGCTGACCCCTTGGGAACAATTTTTAGAGAAGAAGAAAGAGAAGAAAAGACTGAAAAAGAAACAGAAGGTATCCATGTTAATTGGTCAGGTATTTATTGAATGCCGGTTGTGTCCCTCACACCCACCTGTAATTTTGAAATGCATGTCTCTATGACAGAATCTTGTTGTCTGGCCCACACTCCATCCCAGTCCTGGGACTGTAGGTGTGGACCACCACACCCATCTACAAGGAAGTAACTGTTTGATCTTTATTGTAATAGTGGCAAAGTAGGATAAAAGCCCTGCCCCCTTGATATGGTACCTCCTTTTACTAAGCTTTCTTCAAAACTTAAATAGGCAGTTAAATGCCATTTGTAGAATGATTCCACAAGTACTAAAGCTAGCAGTTTTGGGGAAAATTTTCTAAGTGAGTCTTGATGGAGTCAATAAAATACTCACTCTGAGACTTTCCCCTACACTTGTACTTTATCCTTTTTCTGATTTTGTTTGGTTTGTTTGTTGTTTTTCAAGACAGTTTCTCTGAGTAGCTCTGGCTGTCATGGAACTCACTTTGTAGATCAGGCTGATTGCAAACTCTGACATCCACCTGGCTCTTCCTCCTGAATGCTGGGATTAAAGACAAGCACCACCAACACCAACACCACCACACTAATGTTCTCCTTTTCTTATTTGTATCCCTTTAATTTCCTTCTCTTGCCTTATTGCTCAGGTAATGAATGCATCAAGCTCACTATTGAAAAAATGTAGGGATTATGGACAGACTTGTCTTGTTTCTTATTTCAATAGAGTTGCTTTAAGTTTTTCTCCATTTAGGATGGTGTTGGCTGTGTGTTTGTCACAGAGAGCTTTTATTATATTGAGATATATTCCCTCTATCACCACTCTCTTGGATTTTTATCATGATGGCATGTTGGATTTTTGTCAAAGGCTTTCCTGTACTTAATCATATGATTTTTCTTTTTAAGTATATTTATGTTATTTGTTACATTATTGGCTTGCATGTGTTGAGCCATACCTGTATCTAGGATAAAGCCAACTTGGTTATAGTGGATAATCTTTTTGATATATGTCTGTCTTCGGCTTGTAAATATTTTATTGAGTATTTTTTTTAATCTATGTTCATCAGGGATATTGGCCCGTAAATTTTTTTTTATGTTGTATCTTTACCTGGCATTGGGATTAGAGCAATACCAGCATGCATCATAGTAGGAGTTTGGGAGTATTCCTATTGCTGTTATTCTTTTAAAAAGCTTTTTTTCAAGATTTAAATTGTTCTGCCTGCCTGTACACCTCCATGCCAGAAGAGGCACTAGATCTCATTATAGATGGTTGTGAGCCACCTTTTGGTTGCTAGGAATTGAACTCAGGACCTCTGGAAGAGCAACCAGTGCTTAATCACTGAGTCATCTCATTTTATCAAAATTTGAAGAAGACTGGCTCAGATCTTTGAAAGTGGTAAAATTCTTCTGGGCTTTTTTTTTCCCAACAGAAGCCTTATTGCTTTTTCAATCTCATTTGTTATGCGTCTGTTGAGATTGTTATAACTTTGATAGTCTGGATAAATCTACAAATTCAAGTTCTTTTTTTTTTTTTTTAGATTGTTCAATTTAATAGCATTGGGGTGTTTTAAATATTGCCTTATCTGAATTTCTGTCTGTTGTAATGTTTCCCTGTTTATTTCTGATTTTGTTATTTGGGTTCTCTATCATTCTTTTGGTTAGTTAGGCCAGAGCATCTGTCAACTTGTTTATCTTCTCATAGAAGCAGCTCTTAGATTTGTTGATTCTTCATATTGCTTTCTTTGTTTTGGTTTCATTGGTTTCTGATCTGGTTTTTATTATGTCTTGCCATCTACTGGATTTGTTATCATTTTGTCCAAAATTTTTAGTTGCATCATTAAGTCATTTATTTGTGCTCTTTATAATTTTGGTATGTAGGCACTTAGGGCTATAAATCTCCATTGCAGAACTGTTTTTAATGTCTCCCAAAGATTTTGTTGCATTGTAGTTTTATTTTCTTTTAGTTCCAGAAAATTTTTTTTTCTTTCTTGATTTTTTTCTTTGACTCATTAATCATTTTAATAATGACTTGTTTACTCTCCTTGAGTTTGTATACTTGAGATTTATCTGGTATTGATTTTAGCTTTTACTTAACTATGGTCAGGTAAGATACATGGAGTTATTTGATTTTAATTGTTTTGTGTTCCATGATACATTCTATTATAGAGAAGCTTCCATGGGCTGTTGAGTAAAATGCATATTCTTTGATGTTTGGGTGGAATAAGTTCATTGGATGTATATCATTTGTTTCTGATTTGTTTCCCTGTTTATCTTTTATCCAAATGATCTTTCTACTGGAGGAAGGTGGATATTGAAATCACCTACTTTTAGTGGGTTGATATTAATCTATGTTTTTAACTATAGTAGTATACATGAAATTAGGTGACCAGTTTCTGTACATGTAACATGTATATGTTAAGATAGTAGTATCTTCTTGGTTAACTATGCCCTTGATTAAAATGAAGTACCTTAAGTAGTTTGAATGTAATTGACCCCTATAAGCTCATTGGGAGTGGCACTATTAGGAGTTGTGGCTTTGTTGGAGTAGGTATGGCCTTGTTTTAGGAAGTTTGTCACTGTGCTTTGAGATCTCCTGTGCTCAAGATACCCCCAGTGTCTCAGTTTACTTCCTGTTGCCTGTGGGTCACGGACTCTTAGCTTCTCCAGCACCATGTTTGCTAGAATGTAACTTTGTTGCATTATGATGATAAGGGGCTAAATTTCTGAAAATGTAAGTCACTCCAGTTAAATGTTTTCCTGTACAAAAGTTGCTGTGGTCATGGTGTCTTTTCACTGCAATAGAAACCCTAACTGAGACGGTGCCCTTTATCTCTTTTGATTAGTTTCTGATTAAGGTCTATCTGTCAGATGTTAGGACAATAACACCTACTTGCTTCCTGTCCCTGTTTGTTGGAATACTTCTTTTCATCCTTTCTGTTTAAGATGGTGCCTATCTTTAACGCTGAGTTTCTTGTAGACAACAGAGAGATGAACTTTGTATCTTAATTCATTTAACCAGCCTGTGTCTTTTAATTGGAGAGTTGAGGCGATTAATATTTAAATTATTGAAAGGTGTGTGTTGATTGCTGACATTTTTATTGGGTTTTTGTTGTTGTTTGGTTGGTTGTTGTTTTTGTTTGATTTGGTATTTATGTTCTTAGTTGTATTAGTATTCATTAATTACATCTTCATTTGTCTTCTTTCTAGGGTCTCTTGGCTATGCTTATTCTTCACTAAGTACTGTTTCCAGTATTCTCTTGAGGCTTGGTCTTTCTGGACATTAACTCTTTTAGCCTATTTGCGTCGTGGAAAGTTTTTCTTTCTCCTTCAACTATAGCAGATGACTTTGCTTGGTACAGTAGTCTACATAGGTGGTGTTGTAGAACTTGAAGTGCCTTGCACTCTGGTTTTCAAAGTTTCCATTGTGAAACTAGCTGTTATTCTGATGGATTTTCCTTTTTATGTGATTTAGGATTTTCCTCTTAGAGCTTTCAGTATTTTCTTTGTTCTTTTTAAGTGTTTTTATGTTGTGGGAAGTTTTGCTTTTGGCATTATCTTTTTGGTATTAACAACTGTGCTTCTTAGATCATCTGGGTTTATCTTTCCTTAGTTTGAAAGTTTTTTTTCTATGATTCTTTTGAACATCTGGTCTTTGCCATTGATCTGGGATCATCTATGCCTGTAATTAAAGATTTGGTCTTGCCATGAAATCCCCGTTTCTATACTATGTTTTGTTTTGTGTTTCTGCTTTTTTTTTTCATATTTTTCTTGTCATACTCCCCTAGTTTGTCTTAAGATTCTGATAGTATATCTTATATTTGATCAATTTTACTTATAAGATTTTTCTCTTGAGTTTTCTGATTGTGCTGTTTTTCAATTCCATCTTCATTTTAACTTAAGATCTCTTCAATATCCCTATGCCTGTTGAATTCCTTTCTCAAATCTTATATTGTCTTTGTCATGGTATTTCAGCCTTGTTTGTGTTTTCTTGGACACCACTCTTTGAGTTCATTGAGCTATTCAGTTGTATCTTTAAACTCTGAATCTGTGTATGATTCTTCTGTTCGGTGTCCCTGGGGTTCATCTTGACAATACTCGCTAGAGAACATTTCTATAGAACTGGTGGATTTGGGAGGACATACTGTCTTGTCTTACATAGTTTTTGTGCAATGAGACCTGAAAGTGTGGGCTTCTTGTGTTGGTCATGTATTTGATGTGAGCACAGCAGGCTCATTTGATGCTTGGAGATTAGGGCAGGCATGAGTGGGGTAAGCCTGGGAATTAGGAAGGGTGCAGTCATGGTAGGGTCAGGTGGGATCACCAGACTGAGCCAGAGCCCATGATGTACAGGCTTAGCTGGGCCTTGAAGCTGCATCTGGCACAAACCCTCCAGGGCCAGAGTTGGGAGGAATTGTGCCATGCACCAGTTTCTCACCACCTGGGCTTGGCTAGAGGGTCCCTCTGAATGAAGGCTCCCAAGTTTGGCAAGTGCCAGAGGGAGGAAAAGCAGCAAAGAAGAAATCTGGACTTACTAACATTTAAAATACATACAGTAAATAATCAATGTCTCGGTGCCTGCACCAGTCTTGATAACAGCCTTCGGACTCCTTGGTGCCTTTAAAGCTTAGGGGATCATTTTTGCATTCAGGATGAATAGAGATTCTAAGCATATTTACTAAAATGACGGATGTTTTACATTCTTAGAAAAAACCCAGTCTGGTTAGTCTTAATCTAGATTTACTCTATGGTTTTATTTGTTAGTTAAATAGACCAATACAATGTAGGAAGTCTGTTCAAATTATATTAGGGAAATGTCTATGTCTGAGTCCTACTTTGGTTTCTGTTGCTATGATAAAATATTCTGACCTGAAGTAACTTGGGGAAAGAAGGGGTTTATTTCATCTTACACTTCCAGGTCATATGCTGTCTGTGGGAAAGGTCAGTGTAGGAGCTAAAACAGGAGTGCTTCTTTCTGGTGTGTTTTCTCTCAGCTACATTCTTTATGCAACCCAGGACTAAAGATGGCATCATCCACAGTGGACTAGGCCCAACTTCATCAATTAGCCGTTTAATTAGTACCCCCACAAACATGACCACAGGGCAGTCTAATGGAGGCAATTCTTCAAGTTTCTGTCAAGTTTACAAAAACTGAACAGCACAGTATGCACCTTACAACTTTCTGAGGACAGGGATCCCATATTTGATAATATTCTTTTCTTACAAAAATCATAGTTTCGGGCTGGAGAGATGGCTCAGAGGTTAAGAGCATTGCCTGCTCTTCCAAAGGTCCTGAGTTCAATTCCCAGCAACCACATGTGGCTCACAACCATCTGTAATGCCCTCTTCTGGCCTGCAGGCATACACACAGACAGAATATTGTGTACATAATAAATAAATATTTTTAAAAAAGATCATAGTTTGCTTTAATTATTTTCCATGCATATGTAAACATAGAGCTACAGACAGTTTGAGCTGCCATGTGGGTGGTGCTCTTAACCTCTAAGCCATCTCTTCAGCCTCTATATTGAATTTCTTGACTTCAAAAATGTTTATCATTTTCTTTATATTCACATACTTCAGTCTTTATAATGTTGCAATTCTTTTTACATTCATCTTTAAGGCTCTTTCTGAAGAAGCCAGTGAAGATGAGCTTCCCTCTGATGTTGATTTGAATGATCCCTACTTTGCTGAAGAAGTTAAAAAAATAGGTAAGCCAGCCTATACTTGTGATTTTTCAGTTGGAATCCAAAGAAAAGGATAATATGGGTTGAAAAAAAATAGTTGAAACTAGCCATTCTCTCAAATATGCTAGAATTTGGATAGCTTAATTAATGATTTATACCATGTCTGTCCTGAAGAGTTCAATCATAAGTCATATTGAGAAGACCCAACATGCCTCTTGTATATAGAAGATATAAAGTAATTCCATTATAAAGGACTTTTTAAAAAGATTTCTTTATTTTTATGTTCTGTGTATGACTCTTTTGCCTGCATGTATGTGGACTACATGCATGCAGTGTTCAAAGAGGCCAGAAGAGGATGTCAAAACACCTAAAACTAGAGTTGCAGATGGTTATGAGCTGCCATGTAGTCTGGAAACCTAACCTGGGACCTCTACAAGAGCAGGTCTCTGCAAAGGCAGTGAAGAATTTGTCTAGCATGTATATAGTTTTTAAATGTAAGCATAAAATGATAGTATAATAGCCTTTTCTATTCAAATATACAAAGGCATCTATGCTTAATATTTAGTCCCTTTTTCATTTACCCTTGTTAAATACAGTTTAAAAGTCAGCTTTTCTCATAGCTCCAATTTTCTTCAAATCCCTAGGCTAAGATGACTTAGCAGCTTCCTATGTCTAAAGAGTCTTGTCTCCATGGTTTTTATATCACTTATGCTTCCCAGATATTTTCATTTGTATCTTTTGGGTGTATGTGTTTGGTAAGGTTGAGGCCATACTTGACAAGTTTGTGCAGAAAGCACTGTAAGTATTCATTGCTCTTTTGTGCTTTGCCTTCCCCTCATCCTTATTTCACACACACATGAACTCCCAGTACTTATTCTTGAGAGCGCCAAGCTGGCCTTGTAAAGAGAAGTAGTTTATGAGATCTCCCTGCTTCTTGTCCCTCCTGACCAGCGGGCCAGAACAGTTCTCAACAGGAAAAATCAAAGTGCTTAAAATTCTTTACTGGTTTTTACGGCCCTTTAGCGCTGACATTTTATTGGTGAAAGGAGATTACGTTGAATAAATTCTATTATATGCTATGAGATTCTTAGGAATTGAAAAGGGAAATGGAAACCTAGCATATTCTGCTTTTTCTCATACCTTTGTGATCATTTCTAAAAGATGATGAATTTTAGCCTTGTCCCTTGACTGAAACAAAATTATTGAGAACTGTGAAGCATTAAAGCTTCCTTGTTCTGTGTCCAAAGTGCTTCATTTGACATATATAATCTGGTCAGATTGCAGAGCTCAGAGCAGCATTCAGAGAATAACTTAAATAGTTCAGTAGTGTAGGGTAGCAGCTAAATTGCATGTAAGCTTTCCCTAGCATTAGTATCAAACATTTTGAGTAAGGCAAAATTTGTTTTCAATGTGTTTTTTCAGAATGCTCCATAAGAATTGTTTCTATCATCTGGATTTTTTGTTTGTTTGTTTGTTTGTTTTTCAAAGCAGGGTTTCTCTGTGTAGCTTTGGAGCCTGTCCTGGAACTCACTCTGTAGACCAGACTAGCCTCAAACTCAGAGATCCACCTGCCTCTGCCTCCTGAGTGCTGGGATTAAAAGCATGCACCACCACCGCCGACTTCTATCTTGTTTTAAAAGTTAGTGGTACTTCGTTGCTTTAAAGGAAAATAGAATGAGAACTTTTTACATGAAATGTATGACTAAAATGGGTGTCTTGCCAAGTTTGTTCACTCTGTCATTAAATATTGTGATTGTCAAATGCAGTGCAGTCTGATAAACTAGAGCTATAGCTGTAGCAATAAAGACAAGACGGTATCTTTTGTACAGTCTGGTTTCAGGGAAGATGTACCAAAAGTAGAAGCAAGATTATATGAGTGTGGTGTTTAAAAGAGTGGTACAGAGAAGATAATGAGGGAGAGAATGAGAAAATGGTGTGTCTTGTAAATAGAATAGGTAAAGAAGGCTCCCTTGAGGTGTTGAGATTTGAGTTGGGACCTTGGGCACAGACTGCCAGAGGAAGAGCATTGCACAGGAAGGAAAAGGATGTAAAGTGAGAAAGGACATGTTGTACATTGTTGAAGGAATTGAAGGTCATCGTATGGCTGGGGCACCCTCAGAGAGGGAGTTCTGTGTGGAGCTAGGGTGGATTTCTAATAGGAAGGGACCTGCAGAGCTTTGTTGTCTTGACAGAAAGTTAGGATTTTATTGTTGACCGTAGAAAGCCATCAAATAGCTTTAAAGCAGGAAAGTGACGTCATCTGGTGTGTCTCTTAACATATTGCTGATTCCTGCAAAGAAAACATGTTGAAAGAGATACTAGTGAGAGCTAGAAAACTCAATTTTAACAGAAAAAAAGTCCATTGTTGGCCAAAAAAAACAGATCATTTTGAGGGGAGTTATTGCCAAAGGAAATCAATTAAATGAGTTCTCAAGTTTAAAGAGGTTGCTTTGGCCAGGATAACCAAGAGTGGATAAAGACGAGACATAAATCTGAAGGCCAGACAAGAGGCAAAAGTATAGAATGTGCAGCAAGGCCACAGGAAAGGAGACCAAGACAGGAGAGAACCAGCTGAACCTCACAGGGTGTTTCACAAAAAGAATATGCCCCTTTTAAGTAGTAGTGTAAACAGAGTGCAAAGCCATTTGCATACCTGGTATCCATTCAGTGAGCAAGCACTCATTTTCAGAGACTTTCAGCACTTGTTAGAAGATACTTCCATAAAGCCTCACACCATATTATAATACAGACTACATATCTGACGTATGGTGGTTCAGTAACCTGATATCTAGAGACCAAGCCAACTTAGCTTGGGTAAGAATACTCTATAATGTTCACATAGTGGCAGAATTTACTAATGGCATATTTCTTAGACCACAAGCCAACTTACTACATGACCCATGACTTCTGTCACCATGAAGTCTTCTCCCATACTTTATGCATCAGTACAATTACTTACAGGACAACTGGACTTTGAAATAAATGTTTGATATATATTGTATATATGTATAAACAGATGGACTTAATGAATAATTTTCAGTTAATTTCTGTAGTTGGAGACTACTCTTTCATTTCCTGGCTGTCCAGACCTAAATAATCACAGAAACTGTGTTATTACAATACTGCTTGGACAATAGCTTAGGTGTATTCCTACCTAGCTCTTACATAATAAATTGACCCATTTCTATTGATCCGTGTATCACCACGAGACTGTGGCCTGTCGATAAGTTCTGGCGTCTGTCTCCTTGACTCTGCCTACTCTCCATATCTCTGTTCAGATTTCCTGCCTGGCTTTATTCTGCCCTGCTATAGGCTGAAGCAGTTTTTGTTTTTTGTTTGTTTGTTTGGTTGGTTGGTTTTTTTATTAATCAATGATGTGGGATTCCCCTCTGTTAATAAAGAAGCTATTTCCGCCAATGGCTTAGCAGAGTAAAGTCAGGCATGAAATGAGAACAGAGAGAGAGTGTGTGAGTAGGTGGAGTCAAGGAGACACGTAGCTGCCGAAGGAGAAAGACAGACACAAGAACAGATGTCAGAACCTTACCCCATAAGCCATACATACCTCGTGGCGATACACAGAATAATAGAAATGGGTTAATTTAAGATATAAGAGATAGCTAGGAATATGCCTAAGTCATTGGTCAAACAGTGTTATAATTAATATAGTTACTGTGTGGTCTGAGCAGCTGGGAAATGAACAAGCAGTCTCCGTTTACAAACCAATTGGTAATAAAACATTCACAGCATACAGAGGGGAATTCCATATCAGATTTCAAATTTGTTCTTTCCAGGATAAACGACTTTTTCTTTACCAGTGTATATACAAAGTATAGCAAAGAACAAAGATTGATGTAATGTTCTGTGCTCATGATCCAACAGGGTGTAGGAAGACAGTGTCCTAGTTTAGTTTCTGTTGCTGTGATAAAACACTGGCTACTACCAACTTGGGAAAGGACATATGTCTTAGTTGGGATTTTTATTGTTGTGAAGAGACATAAGCATGGCAACTCTTAATAAGGAAAACATTTAATTTGAGGCTGGATTCCAGTGTCAGTGGTTTAGTCCATTATCATAGTGGCAAGCATGGCAGCAAGCAGGCCCGTGTGGTGCTGGGAAAGGAGTGGAGAGTTCTGATCTTGATCTACAAGTAGCAGCAGGAAACTGCCACACTAGGACTAGCTTGAGCTTACGAGACCACAAAGCCCACTTCATAGTGACAGACTTCCTCCAACAAGGCCACACCTCCCAGGAGTGCCACTCCCCATGGCCAGGCATTCAGACACGTAAGCCTATGGGGGCCATTCCTATTCAAACCACTGGTCTGACATTTTCACAACCATCCGTCATCTCAAGGTGATGTCCCTTCCTAGAGGAAGAGGTTTGTTCTGGAGGAAGGAACAGACTGAAGCAGAGACTGTAGAAGAGTACTGCTTTTTGGCTTGCACAGCTTCCTTTCTTATACCACCCAGAATCATTTGCCCAAGGGTGGCATGGACCACAGTGGCTGGATCCTCCCACATCAACCATTAATCAAGAAAATGCTCCACAGACATGCCCACAGGCAGTCTGATGAAAGCAGTTCCTCAATTACGATTCCCTTTCCCAAATATGTCTTGGTTTCTGTCAAGTTGACAAAACCAACTAGAATGTATGGAAGCCTACTTGTAGTCTTAGAGAAGTCAGTTCCTGTAAGGAAGTAAATAAGAGCTTTTGTATTTTCGTTTGTGCCTCCAGGAGTAAGGCTTGATGGTGGGTTCTTTTTTTTCTCTTCAGTAGTGGTTAGACAATAGGTATTCTTAGATGGAGCTGGTGTTAGCTCAAAATTCATTGTCTTGGGGTTTTTTTTGTTTGTTTGTTTTATTTGGTTTGTCTTTACTCAGGTAGCTTAAATTGATATATAAATGTATTGCCACAATATTGCCTTCATTGTTAATTTGTTAAAATAAATTTTGGAGATTAGTACTATAGAAGTAAAATGCAGTCATTACTTAAGGATATATACCTAGTTTCCAAAAATATTCAAGACATAATGATTAGCAGTATGATATGCCATGTTTTGTTGATAATCATGGGAACCCTTCCCTTTCCTAAACAGAAACTGAGGGGGAATGTATGTGGGGATGGGAACAGAGTGGGCCTTAGAGGGAAGAACTAGAAAGAAAGGAGAGAAGAGAAAGTGTAGCCAGGAAGTAAAATAAATAAGTAAATGAGTTTTTTTAAAACAAAAAAAAAGTATGTAGTTAAGAGTGTACATAACCAGAACAGTAGTATAAGAAGGTGAGCTTGAGTATATTTATAACATACTTGCCCTTGGGCATCCTGTAGAGCTAAACTTATACACCTTATAAAATTGTATAAACTTTCAATATGTGAAAAAATTGATTTTGATTGATGCCAGATGTGGTATTTGGGTTGGGTTAGGAGCCAGTATGAGCACCAGAGATTTGTTACAATTTTTCCCCTAAACTGCAATTGGTTATCAAAAGAGTTAGGAGAATTTTGAAAATATACTTCTAAGATGAAAGTTAATTTTTTCTTTTGGAAATGAAATATTTGAAATGATGTTTTGTTTGTGTTTCAACAAATAAAACTAATCTGAAGATCAGAGCACCGAGCTAAGCCACTAGAAGCCAGGGAGTGGTGGCACACACCTTTAGTCCCAGGACAGAGGGCTCTTTGTTGGTTTTAGGCTACCCTGGGCTATACAAGATTGAATCTGTCTAAACAAGAACCAGAGCTCACATAAAGGTGATCCTAGCACTTGAAATCTCATGCTTTCAATCCCAGCACCAGGGAGGTGGAGACAGGAGTGATATGGCTGTCGGACAGAGAGGGGACTGTATGGCAGGAGGAGACAAGAGTTCAGTGCAGTTTGAGGCTTTTTGGAGACAAATGCAGTCTGAGGATGGATTGCCCCTTGTGTCTGAGCATTGATAGAAGTAAAAAGAACTCTAGTGGCTGGTCACCCTGCTTCTCTGATCTTCAGCATTAACGCCAATGTCTAACTCTGGGTTTTTAGTATTAATACCAATTAGAATTTGTGCTACAGACATTGGAATTATTTTCTTATTGCCAATTTGTAACTTTCCTCTTTTTTAGTGCTAAGGATAGACGGAAGGCCTCATTTATATGAGGCAAGCACTTGACCCCTAAGCCTTACCCAGCCCTAATTGTATAAACTCTATAAAGATTTTGCTTGGGGGCTGGAGAGATGGCTCAGCAGTTAGAGCATCGCCTGCTCTTCCAAAGGTCCTGAGTTCAATTCCCGGCAACCACATGGTGGCTCACAACCATCTGTAATGAGGTCTGGTGCCCTCTTCTGGCCTGCAGACACACATGTAGAAAGAATATTGTATACATAATAAATAAATAAATAAATATTTTAAAAAAAGATTTTGGGGGGCTGGAGAGATGGCTCAGTGGTTAAGAGCATTGCCTGCTCTTCCAAAGGTCCTGAGTTCAATTCCCAGCAACCACATGGTGGCTCACAACCATCTGTAAAGAGGTCTGGCGCCCTCCTCTGGCCTTCAGGCATACAGACAGAATATTGTATACATAATAAAATAAATAAAAATAAAATAAAATAAAAAAAGATTTTGCTTTTGAAAAAGTAGGACTAAAGTGTATAGTACATCCCTTTAAAAAAGAAAGAAAAAAAGTCATAGTATCAGCACAATTACTAAGAAACTTAAAAGATGTATAATCAGACAATAATGGCAATAATTTCAGGTACCATATAATAGTATGTGCCAAACAGTAACTATATTCTTACAGTTTACTAATCCATGGAGTCCCTAGACTAACACTACAGGTAGTTGCCTTTATTAAATTCCATGTTTGGGGCTGGAGAGATGGCTCAGTAACTAAAAGCACCTACTTCTTTTGCAGAGAATTCCATTTTAGTCTTCAGCACCCACATGGCAGTTCAATTATAACTGTAATTCCAAGGGATCTGATACCCTCTTCTGACTTCCACGGGTACCAGGCATACACTTGGTACACACACATACATGCAGGATATAGCTCAGGGTGTAAAGGGGCTTGCTGCCATGTCCAGGACCTCAGATTCCCAGGACACACATGATAGGAAGGGAAAACCAACTCCCACAAGTTGTCCCTTGGCCTTCACACTTGATGTGTTGCATGCATAGCTAGCTGCATACAGACACACCAAAATAGATTTAAAAATAAAAAAAACAAACCTGTTTTACAGATAAGGGCATAACCAATTCTTTTTTTTCTAGGATGAAGCAAATTGTTCATCCTTTTAAATAACCTGTGTGGGATTTTTGTTTTCTCTTCAAAAGAACTAAGCCATTTTGTTCAGTACATGGTCTAGTGATTCTCTTTATTAATTACTGGTGTTTTGCTTTGGTTTTGAGGTGGTCTCACTATATACAGACTCACAACTCACAACCCTTTGTCCTCTGCTGAGTGCTAGTGTTACAGAAATGTGCCACACACCAACAGAAATACCTTCCTTGCAGTACTTAGTCACCTTTCAGAAGGCTTGTGTACGCCGTTTATGCCCATGGCCTTCTTCATTTTGTTTATAGTATAAACAGATTTTGCCTGTTAATCTTGTCATTTTAACCCTCCTCTGTTGGTTTGTTGTACCAGGTATAAAGAAAAAATCAACGAAATGTGCAAAGGGCAGCACATCTTCAGAGGAAGAAACTGAACTAGAAAAACAAAAGGTAGAAAGTGGTCATTGTTGAGTATTTATCGATGCTTGGTCTGAGGAGTTGGAATGATGTGGTTCATGTGGGTTTTCAGTGTCTCTAATTTTAAAACTGATTTTTCCAGTGGGTTTTGTAAATACATTATAAGATACATAAATATTCTAGTCACATATTTTTAAATGTTACCTTTAACCAAACACTATTTCTCCAGTTAATATGGAGTAAAAGTTTCTCAAGCCCTTTATGAATAAGGAGATATTCTCATTCTCACCCTTTAATATGACTGAAACAGAAGATATTGTTGTTGGAACATAAAGTAGTGTTTGCATATCCTTTGAATCTATTGATCCTGTTACAGTTTCTGTTACAGATTGTCAAATGCTAATTTCTCTTTTATTAGTAGTAAATACAAGTTTAATGTACAATGCTAAATCTTCATGAGAAATGCTGTGAAGCTTATGCATAACACAGGGGCACAGGCTTTGGGCCTTGACTGACCGCCCAAACTGCTCAGTCTAATACATTCTTCTGTTCTCTCCCCCATTGCATGTTAAGTAGTCCTCATAAGACATTGGACATGATTCAGTAAGGAAGCTTGATGTGAGTGCCAGTGGTGGAAGGAAAAGAAATTAAAGTGTTCATATGTGTAAGGGTCACAAAGCATTGCTTGTGGTTGTTTGCTTGACTCGTGAGGTGTCTCTCTGATGTCATGGTCAGGAGAAACAGAATACTTGTTCTCAGAAGCAAATGCTGAGTCTGCTCATGAAAGTCTATCAGTATTGAAAGAGACAAGAAAAAAAAAAACCGAGCAAAAGAATTTTCATAGTTGCTAAAGTGCACATCTGGAAGCTGTAATTTGAATCACAAAGTAAATTTCCTGTCCTTAGAGAGAACAGGGTGGAAATGAAATGTATTTGAAAGACCCAGGGCTCTCGTTCCCTTGCTTGCTAATCGGATTACTCTACAAGGATGGACATCTATCCTTTGCATAAAGACTATTCCTTTCCTCCTTTCTTGTAGCTAGTCCTCACATCACAGCCTCGAATGGACCTATACTGTGTATCGTGGGCCTCTTTCTACTCTCCACTCATTGACTGTGATGGAGGAAGGTCATTGGTTAATTATAATAAAGAAACTGCTTGGCCCTCATAGGTTAAAACATAGGTGGGAGGAGTAAACAGAACAGAATGCTGGGAGGAAGAGGAAGTGAGCTCAGAGGCCATGCTCCCCTCTCCCAGGCAGGCGCTATTAAGCTCTGACCCAGGATGGACGTAGGCTAGAATCTTCCCGGTAAGCGCACCTTGGGGTGCTACACACATTATTAGAAATGGGCTAGTCCAGATGTGAGAATTAGCCAGTAAGGGCTAGAGCTAATGGGCCAAGCAGTGTTTAAAAGAATACAATTTGTTTGTTGTTATTTTGGGTAAAGCTAGCAGGTGGTGGGAGCCGGGCAGGACGAAAAGCAGGCCCGCAGCTCCCACAACATAACTGTAAGCAGTCCTCAGAGTAGCAGTGCAGGAAAACTCTGCTGTACGTTTGAAGTTTTGTCTGTTTCTTTCCATAGGCTGAAATGGCCTTGCTTGTAATGGATGAGGAAGAAGACAGCAAGAAACACTTCAATTATGACAAGATTGTGGAACACCAGAATCTGAGCAAAAAGAAGAAGAAAAAGCTTATGAAAAAGAAGGAGTTGCTTGAGGATGACTTTGAGGTAACTGGCAGCACAAGTCATTATTAGCTCCTTGAAGGTGGAATTAAATCTAAAGGCAGTTCTGGGTATAGAAATTAGACATGAAGTTACCCTTGAAAAACCCTTAAAGATCCCTTAATGGTAATAGAGCAACTATTCTTTAATCTAACACAGTTCATCCCAGAGTGATGAGCTCTAAGTGAAATTGTTACCTTTAATTTGGTAGCTGTGTTAAACAAAAATCTGTGGCCTTTAAATGTTAAAACCAGAAGCAGTGATATTCATGCAATGAGAGGTAGCTGAGCATGGAGGGTTCACATGATATTGGGCTCACTCGCACTGTGTACAGTAACCAACATAGTGGACAAGCTTTTTTAATTTCTTTGTATCATATTTCTGTTCCTCTTCAGTTTTCTTCTTATGATAAGTGCCTGGTCCTAATGGCCATATTTTACTAGGACTTACTTAACATTTTCCACTAGTGAACTTGGAAAAAGAGATGGTTGAATGTTGAATTTGGCCAAAGTGGAGGGAAGGACATCAGCTTCTTCATAGTATGTAGAAAGATCACAAGGCCACTGTTGCTTGCTCTACCTGTCCATGTATGCTTCTGTCCCCATGAAGTTTCTGATGAACTGTTTTTTTTCTAATTAAAAAGCAAAGAATAATTTCTTATTATGAGTTCTGCCTTCACACATAACTGTGGAGCTGTGATATGGTCCAGCAGGTAGTAGCTCTTGGCCTCTGAGACTGACAGCCAAGTTCAGGCCCTGTCTTCCACATGGTGCAGAAGAGAACTGACACCCTCATGTTGTTCTCTAACTTCTACACACCACACGAACTTTTTTTTCATGAGGGCTGTGGAGATGGTTCAGTGAATAAAGAACCTGCTGGACCTTCATGAGACCTAAGTTTGGATCCTAGAACCCCACTAAAAGCTAGGAACAGTAGCATATGTGTATAACCCAGGGCTGTAGGGGATAGGGACAGACTGATCTTGGGGACCTGCTGACAGCCAGCCTTCCCAGGTGATAAAGCTCCAGCTTCATTGAGAGAAACTATCTTAAAATATAAGGCAGACAATGTTAAAGAAGACACCTGTCATCAACCTCTTATCTCTGCATGCAGGCACAGACACCTGTACACACACACAGAATTTTCATGAGAGTTCCTTTGTTACTCTTGGTATCATGTCTGTCGTCTTCACTATAACTAAATAAAGCTGTAATCCATCTCCAGTACACTCAGGTTTTTCCTTTGTTGTTCGGTGCTAAGCCTGACTGGATTGACAGGTATACTTTTCAAGGTACAACCATAGTGCTTTTTGTAGAAACATCTAGAGGATAAGTTTGGGGTTTATATCTTACAAATCTTGGACTGGAGAGTGGATTTCTTTGCCCTCACCCAATAACTGCTTGTGATTCCAGGGCGATTAAACCTAGCACTTCACACAGGTTTAGGCTAGCACTACCATTGAGCAACATCTGCAGCTACCATTTTGCATTATATTTTCAAGCAGTGTTTTGCTAAGATGCCCAAGGTGGTCTTAAATCTGTAGTTAGCCTCCTGAGTAGCTGGGATTACTGCCCCATACTACCTGACCTAGCTAGTAACTACTTTTGCTTAACACCAAGTTTAAAATTTCTTAAAATTACACATACTGCAGTGACTGGTTAAACTCCAAGCAGTTAAGCAGTGTCCAACTAGACTTATTTATGATGGACAGAAGTCAGTATTATGCTAAGTGAGGAGGAGAAGCCCTGCCTTGGGAACCACTTCCCTGACAGTGAAACTAATGATCCAAGTTACATACCACTATACACATGGACCACTATTCTTCCCTTTCAAGTAGATTGGTTTTAGGGGAAGAGAACAGCGTATCCTTCACATTGTGATTGAAGGGCAGGCCTTAAGAGTCCATTGAGTCTACCCTGGACGTGGTGGCACATGCCTATAATCCGAGTTCTTAGGGCGCCAAGACCTGGAGGATCCTGTGTTCAAGAGCAGCAAGTTATAGTCTAGCCTAGACTTAAAGACAGACCTTGTCTCAAATAACAAAGTAGAAGACTTTTTTTGGTTGTAGAACATGGTTCTGATGCCTCATTGCACAGTGCACACACTTGTATACTAAGAACCAGCAGCTCTTTGCCTTTATTTACTTATTTGTTCTCTTTGAATTCACAGGTAAATGTTAGCGACGCACGGTTTCAGGCAATGTACACTTCCCACTTATTCAATTTGGATCCTTCTGATCCTAATTTCAAGAAGACAAAAGCTATGGAAAAAATTCTTGAAGAGAAAGCTCGGCAACGAGAACGAAAAGAAGAACTCCTTACTCAAGCAGTGGAGAGAGCTCAGCAGGACACGGGAAAGGCAGCACAGAAGCAGCACTCAGATCCTGCCTTGTCTTTGCTGATTAAATCCGTGAAAAATAAAACAGAGCAATTCCAAGCCAGAAAAAAACAGAGAGTCAAATAACTGGACACTGTCTCTGTGATCTCAAGTACACAGAAATAGTTTAAGGGTTAATGGGAATGTAGCTATCTTAACCCCAGCACTCGGGAGGCAGAAGCAGAAGGATCTCTGTGAGTTCGAGGCCAGTTTGGTCTACAAAACGAGATCCAGGACAGGCTCCAAAGCCAAACAGAAACCCTGTCTCAAAAATTAAAAAACAAACAAAAATATATGTAAAAAAAAATGGTGTCCATTTTTTGTGTATAGATTAAAAACAAATTTTTTAAAAGTATATATGGATATGTACATATATATTTATGTTTATATAGTACCTTAATCTCTCAAAACTCAGGAAGCAGAGCTAAATAGCTATTAAGATAATTTATTTTCATAGCATAAAGGATGAAGCTGTAAACTTTTTTCCATGCTTAGTAATTTGCATGGAGAGCTATTGGATGAGCAGAAGTGCACAGTGTCTACTAGTTTGCATTTTTACTAGTTTTTATAGTGTCGGTTTGCCTCATATATGTACTTCAAGCAGACTATTCTGAAAAAACTGAAACAAGACTTTAACTGATGAAAAAACAGTTCCTCAGAAAGAGTTTCATTTTTATATTGCGCATAATTTTATTTGAAAGGCTCGTGGGCTCTGCAGTCATGTTTCTATTTGTAGCAACAACAACAAAAATCCTTCTGTTCTTTAGATTTTTTAGAATGTTTTGGAAGGGTAAGTATACTAGAATAAAGAGAATGCCACTTCTTTGTAAAATTAAAGGACATCTTCAAGACTAATGCCCTTTGGTTTATCTGGTATAGATTTTAAGAGCTATTAAATGTTTTCTTTGTAAGAGTTGCCATGGTTGTGGTGCCTCTTCACAGCAATAAAAACCCAAACTAAAACAGCAGTTGGTACCAGTGATTGGGGTAGTGTGATCGGCCTAACCATGATATTGTTTGGGGTTAATGGGGACTTTGATACCTTGGGTTTGGAAAGCAGTGAAATGCTTTAATCACTGCTTAATGGGCCATATAGTAAGAGCATGGAAGACATAAATAATTTTTTCAATTAGATCAGATAAGGGCAAAGGTTATGGTCTTTGACTTCATTTTTTGAAAAAGTTTGACATACTATAAAAAGACTATTTGATGCTCACATATGTCTTAATTGGCACGGTGCTATTGTTAGTCCTTATTCTTTTTAAATGTCTCCTGCAGCATATTTACAGCAGCGGGCAGCAACTGAGGTGACTCTTCAGGTGTTACTGACTCTTAGGCATCCCTCTTACATTTCTGCAGAGGAGGTTATGTGTGCCTGTTTATCTGAAAGTCAAAAGGCTACTTATTGCCTAGTCCTCCCACATTGGCAGCTCTCCAGGAATGAATGTTCTTCGAGGGCTAGTAGTCAATGACAGGTAAGAGCTTGTTCAGCAGGTCAGTCTAAAACAGGCACAGTCCAGTTGCTGAGCCCACACCCACACAGCTTTAACCTAACACTTAGGAGGTAATGGAAAATAGATCCATCAGTTGGAGACCAGCCTGGTATAGAAAGTAAGTTCCAGGTCAGCTGGGGCTACACGATGAAAACAAAAATAGCAGCTAAATATCACGTTCCTTAGGTCACTATTGCTTGATCTTTCACCTTTAGCTCATTTAATACAAATACCAGTATAGTGACAGTCAAAACTTTGTGGCTCATATTGCCCCCTTCCCCTTTCTTGAGGCAGGGTTTCACATAGTCCAGACTATAGAACCTTGAGCCTCTGATCCTCCTGCCTCTACCTTTCAACTCCTGGAATTATACATGTGTCCCATCATGCACAAGACATGCAGCACTAGGAAATCAAACTCCAGGGCTCCTGCATGCTAGGCAAACACTGCTAATTGAGCTGCATCCCCAACCCCATTTCTCCATATTATCAAAACAACTGTTTCTACTACATTGTGATAAAATTGTCTGCAAATTGCTGTAACAGAATGCTTAGAAACTGGGGAGTTTCCAGATTTCTGGATGTGGACCCAAGTCAAGGGAAGTGAGATAAACTCCCCTAGAAAGCCACTGAGCCTCTGTTGTGCTGGTGTCCCTAGCATTTTGATTCCAAGCTGTTCTCATCATCTCTGGGTTCACATCATCACATCATCACCTTCCTCCAAACATACAGAACCAGTGCCAGACTCAGGCACAAGGGAAAATGGAGTCGTGTGTGAGAGAGTCTATGCCAAGCCTTAAATGTGAGTTCTACATTACCCGAAATCTGCCAAGTAGCAGAGACAACATCTCTACATGGTGTGACAGTGCCAAAGCAAACAGACTGTCTTGGAAGTGTGTACTAGGGAGGCAGAGAAGTGTCTGCTTGGGACTTATGAAGTGTTTTCATTAATTTTTAAAATAAAATTTCCCCATCACTTTTGTCTTGATAACATGTCTTTTTTTTCTTGAAAAAAAATTCTTAATTATGAGTATTTTTTTCTCTTGGGTCAGTAACAAAAAATGTAACTTGTCGTATTGCAAAGAGTTCATTTGAGGGCTATGGTGATTCATGCCTATAATCCCAGATCTCAGAAGGCTCAGGCAGGAGGATTGCCGTGAGTTCCATCTAAATCAAGCCTTGGTAACAGAGTGAGACCTTGTCTCAAAAAAAAAAAAATTGTACATTACATTTTGGGGGGGAATTATCAAATTAAGAAAGAAAAGTGCTTTCTTCGTAAATGTATTTTAAGATGTATTTTATGTGATTTAAGGAAGAATCACTATTTTCTTAGACTGGTTTTGAATTCTTGGTCACAAATCTGCCTCAGCCTCCTGAATATTGTGGCCATAGGCATGTGTGGCTATGCCTGGCTGAAAACAGACTTATTCCAAGCCAGGCAGTGGTGGTACGCCTTTAATCCCAGCATTCAGGAGGCACAGGTAGGCAGATGTCTGTGAGTTCAAGGCCAGCCTAGTCTATAAAGAGCTAGTTTCAAGGCAGGCCCCAAAGAGAAACCCTGTCTCCAAAACAAAAACAAGAATAAAACCAAATCAAACAAAAAGGGCTTATTTCAACAGCAACTCATTAAGTATAAACTCTGAAAACAATTATTGATTCCATATGTTCCTCCTTTTGAATAAATAACCTAGACTTTACTTTCTTTTTTTTTTTTTTTTTTTTTTTTTTTTTTTTTTTTTTTGGTTTTTTTCGAGACAGGGTTTCTCTGTGGTTTTGGAGCCTGTCCTGGAACTCACTCGGTAGACCAGGCTGGTCTCGAACTCACAGAGATCCGCCTGCCTCTGCCTCCCGAGTGCTGGGATTAAAGGCATGCGCCACCACCGCCCAGCTAGACTTTACTTTCTGCAACAGTTATAGGGTTCTACTAGGAAACTCAAAAAAATTATCTGAGACCACACAGGAAATGCACTCCAGATTTCTTTGTATGTCAATGCACCTCAGTTTCTCTATCTGTGGCATTAGGGATGTAGCACATTAAACAAACCAACAATACTAGTTTATTTCCTATTCTTAGAATACTTGAAGCCAAGTACTTTATAAAGTAAAAAGAAAAGTATGTTAATCACAGATTTGGAGGCTGAAGATTCCAGATCAGAGGTAGGTAGTTCAGGTCTGGGATCTCAGTACTTGGGAGGTGGAGGTGAGGGGAACAAGAGTTCAAAGTCAGCCTCACCTACTTAACAATTTCAAGGCCAGCCTGAGATAGAGGAGAACTTATCTGAAAAATAAAAGTAGTCCAAGGTCAAGTGGCCTTGTCCACTCAGCATTGAGGGACTTTTTGCTTGGGTCACAACATAATAGAAAAAAACAAATACCAGAAGGTTGATTGCTTACAGATGAAGTAGATTACATGAGGTGGCCTTATTTCCAGGAGAGCCACATAAACTCTGAAGACCAACCAACCTCTTTAGATAGTGATACCTGCATTGACTTAATTAATTCCAGCATTGGTCCACCTCTGTAGGGTCCTCCTAGGTGAACAATCTCAGACTGGGAACCAAGCTGCCAGGATGTGATCCTCCATGTGATACAACCAAACCATATACAAACCATGGAATCAACTCAAACTATCTTAAGTAAAAGTCACAAGAACCAGGTATAGTGACATATGCTTTTAGTGTCAGTACTTGGAAGTCAGAGGCAGGAGGATATCTGTAAATTTAAGACCAGCCTGGTTTACATAGTAAGTTCTAGCCAGGGCTACATAGTGAGACCCTGTTTGAAAGACGAAAAAGAAAATGTCACAAGAGTGAGAATACTAGAGTCTTGTAGCCCAGAATCCAAGACAGAAATAAAGCAGTGCCTGGAAAGGACAGTGGCCACCCAAGGAATGGATCCTCTTTTAGCCTGCTTTGCTCATATCATGGTCTTCTTAGCCTGATGTGGGACTCCCCTCTGCATGCTGTAAATATGTTTTATTACCATTGGTTAATAAAGAAGTTGCTTTGGTCTATGGCAGGGCAGAATAAAGCCAGGGAGAAAATCCGAACAGAGATATAGAGAGAAAGTAGGCAGAGTCAAAGAGATACCATGTAGCTGCCAAAGGAGACAGATGCTGGAACTTTACCCGGAAAGCCACAGTCTTGTGGCGATACACAGAATAATAGAAATGGGTTAATTTAAGCTGTAAGAGTTAGTTAATAAAAAGCCTGAGCTAATAGGCTAAGTAGTGTTCTAATTAGTATAGTTTCTGTGCAATTATTTCGGGTCTGAGAAGCCAGGAATGAACAAGCAGCCACCACCTACATTAACCCACTGGGGTTAAAATGATGAGAAAATCATATGCCAGTTTCCACTAGATTCTAGGTCCAGGTTTTATGTTATTTAAGATTGTTTTCATTGCATTTAAGATTCAAGAATAAATTTTGAGGGACTAAAAAGATGACTCAGCAGTTAATAGCACTTGTTATTCTTGCAGACTACCTGGACTTAGTTTCCAGCACACACAAGTTGGCTCACAACCACCCATAAGCACATAGGTGGTGCATATTCATACATGCAGGCATAGCACGCATACATGTAAAAGAAATTATTTTTTTTAAATATTTATTTATTTATTATGTATACAACATTCCTTCCATGCCTGCCTGCATACCAGAAGAGGGCACCAGATCTCATTATAGATGGTTGTTAGCCATCTATGTGGTTGCTGGGAATTGAACTCAGAACCTTTGGAAGAGCAGTCAATGCTCTTAAGCTCTGAGCCATCTCTCCAGCCCCCAGAAA